CGCTGCTGCTAAAATTTGCATAGAAGTGGAAACATTTTTAATATTTTTCAGGAATTGTACGTATTTTTTTTTTTTCGAGTTCTTTGCAAAGGTGAACTAGATGGGCTGCTCGTTTCGATGCTTTGAAATCCCTAGAAGAACATTATGAATAGACTTCAGCAAATATGCAAATAAAAATGTAGAAAATATGCGCATAAATATGCACGTGTTTACCCGAAAATATGCGAATATTTTACAAAATATGCATACAAATAAATAAAAAAATCGTAAAATAGTAACAATACAAACTAAATATTTCCTACTATTCATTAAGATTTACATTTATTTTAAGTAACTACATCATTTTTAAGTATGAATAAACTTATTTAGAATTATGGTAACAATAAATGACCAGGTGGTGTTCAAAATTTTCTAACAAAAACTTGTGGCTTCTGTCTGAGTACATATATTTATATATGAAAAAACTTCGTTCAACATCAACTGATGTAACGGGAGCATTTTTCAAACTAACCAAAACATTTGGTTCTAAATTAATTGTTTTCGAAATATTTCCAGTTAGAACACTGACTACTTCAGAAAGAATATGGTAACCTTTATTTTTTTCCATAGTAGCTTCAAATTTTTTTAAAATATCTTTGTATCTCTGTATCTCGAAAAGTAAATAAGTTTGACCCCTCATTAACTATATCGTTTTGTTCAATTTTTCGAGAAGTATCTACAGTCAAACGTTGTAAGTGTCATTTGGAAACACCATGTATGTATGAAATATTAGATATTTAATAGAAAATATTAGATACTTACAATTTTGCCACAGACTGAACAGTAGATTTTTCCCATATCCATAGACAGCTCTTTATAACGTTTAATCCAAGTTGAAGCACTGGTTGTTTTAGGCATTATAAAATCACAATCTTTCTTTTTTTACGCACAACGAGTGTTTACGCTTTGAATATCAAAACAAAAATGATTTACAAATCTGAGCATCAAATTAGAAATGTTTAGGTACCTAATTCAATAAACTGGGAGATTTTGGAAAATCCCTAAATTAAGAACAAAACTATTAGCCGTTTACCTGCTGTTAAGATACAATAAATTGTAGATAGATTTGGGGATTAGATCATAAAATGCAAATGAGCGAACCCTTAGCGATTATCCAATAACTGAATGCCTCAGTGACCGAGACTTTCTAAGAATGTTGAGGGCTACTTAAATTGATCTTCTTTGAAATTGTAAATGTTTTACTGTAATGTACCTGTAGAGATTACGTACTTAGATCATTTCTTGATTAAAATGACTACAAAATTTTATACAAGAATTGAAATAAATTGGTATGTTTAAAAATTTTCAAATACAGTATAAAAATCTGAACTTTTATGCACTTTATGCAAACTTTTATACAAATATGCCAAAATATGAAATATTTGCATAAAATATGCACAATATGCAAAATATGCAATATGCATATTTGCCGAAGTCTAATTATGAAGAAATTAACCACTTTTTACGTTATTTTACCTCAAACAAAGATGAATGGTTCGAAGCTATCGGTTTACATAAACTTGATATATTTGTGTACGTACTGTTACTTACCGTGTGGAAAACATTTTATAAATAATAAACGCTTCAACCAAGACTCTTCAACAAAAGACAAACCGCTAAATATAGTAGTTTTAATATATTCATTGATATTCATTATATATTCATATTTATATTCATATTCAATATATTCATTGATAGATTTCGTACAAAAACAGCAGAAAATACTAAAACTATTTCATAATGAAACTCCAGAACATGAAATAAAATTCCAGTAGCAAACAACATTATAAAGTTAATATTTTTGTTGTTGTATGCGATTTTAGCAATATTAAAAGAGTTCTGAGGGATATAAAACTATTAACAATAAATTCAAAACAATTTTTATGACAGTTATGTTAGCGACTCTTCAATAGTGGAATTAAAATGTTATGCACAAGATATAAACCTAACAGAACTGACATTTATAAGTAAAGAAAATATTATTTCGCCTATATCCATGTAGTTAGCTTCAAAACCAAACTACCAAATGCAAGTATGTGTCATGACTGAAAAATAGGACCGGAATGACAATGTTGCCTAAGTCCTGTTTTAGCCTTAACCCGCCACTTAAAAAACACAAAAATACTCACAGACAAGCAGGCTATCGAAGTTTGCAAATCTAGTAATCCTTTTTATTTTTATAATAACTATATTAAAAAAGATACTTTGGAACCATTGTTAAATCTGAATCCTTTGACCTCACATAGGATTATATTAAACAATAACTCGGATAGTCGATATCTTCTAGCAAATTAAGGGAACCGGATATATTAAAAGCCATTAAGCTACATCTTGCTTTTCTATACGACTCACCTGCTTTCGTAAGTTATGAAGGAATAACTAACATAAGCGTTGGTAAATCATTGCTTATTGGCCGAGTCCATAGATGATTTAGTATTTCGCGAGGTAAGCGTGACCTGTGGAGATCTGGAGGCTTAGTCCAACTGCAACCGGTTCTCCTGTTTCATCTTGCCACGTATTGATCTGGGGACCACTTACCTACATCAGTTTTACATTTTTAATATAAAACTGATAAAAGTATTTAGGTCTGAAACACACTTATCTGTACCTTCCTGAGCTGCTACATCGGCTGCCTCATTTTTCCAATACCTAATTGGCTTAATAGTGCTTCAGGAGCCGTTTTTACTTAATTTTGATATATTTCGTGAAGTCTAAAGTATTTTATACGTTACCCCATCTAAGTTCCATTAAATAGATATATTTAGGATATGAAGCCTATCCCAAATATCGCAGTAATATCGACATACCTACTGCACTTCGCGGATGGGGTTACAAGGGAAAATGTTTTAAGAAACATTTAAAAACCGCTCGATGTATGTATCAAGGTAAACCAATTTTTATGCAAATATAATGTTTGTAATTTAAATTTCATTCTAGGGTTGCAACCTTCCATAACTTTTTAATAACTGGTCAAATTACCCATAGTTTCGAATGAGATTTTATTATGTAAAAACTATTTTGATATTTATTTTTACCATTTTTTTATTTACCGCCAAATCGCAGCTTAAAAATTAATAAAAAAACTAAAGATTTAAATTGAAATGAACGAATGCCTTGTCTTTATAAATAATAACCTCCAATAACTTTCATAGAATAATATAATCTTGATTTAATCCGAGATCTTACATTTATCAAGACCTCAGAAGTTATTCTTCGGCATTTAGCGATAATTCTTTGTTGCAGTTCTTGTGTATTTTCAGTTTGATTTCAGTTGACTCAAAAGGAAAAGATCTCAGAAATTAAAACGTGAAAATCTAGTCTTTATCTTAATATTGCATCTCTTTTATTAATCCAATTCACCGGAAAACGCTTATTCAATAACTATCAAACCTAAACAACATAATAAAGCAGAGCACCATCTTTCCGAAACACTATCAGATCCTCTATCAAGTTATAGTCGTTTTTCAAAATTTCCATAATCATAGAGTCAATAGTATTTTTTAATAATTAAAAGTAAGACTGTCACCAATAAAAACTAGTCTAAAAACGGTCTCTTCAAGTTTTTGAGGGCGTTGAATATAAATGTCTCTAAATTAATGTGAATTGATATTGCTCCAATAACGATAGTTATGAATGTTTGCTTTGCCATTCGCCATAAAAGGAAACAGATATTGTAAAGCATATTTGAGTTAAAGATCAGTTGTTGGGTAAAAATTTCGCATAACTGCAAGCTGCAAGTTGATCTGGATCATCTTCATTTAACACTTGAATTTACTTTATTTTGTATCAGTAAAAGCATGTGTCTTTAAAATTTTACATACACTAGTGTGTAAAATACCAGAATCTTAAAAAGTTTTTTGGATACTCTTGGTCAATTAAGTAGTGTACTATTGGTAGCTTACATTTTTGTTTAAATGCTCTTGATTAGAACTCTTGCAGCGCTATTGGAAGAATCAATAATATCAAAGTAAATTGCAACTATTTCAATTGGTATCTCTTCATTAGTGTAAACTAATTTGACAGAAGGTGGCCAAAATCTTTTGTTTCTATTTTGTATTCTTATGGTTTGGAGTTGAAATCCCGAGAGAAGCGTTAAAGCTACAAAAATTATTGTTGCAAGAAAAATAAATCGACTGGTTTTTGGATTTTTGTCAAAACATTAATTTGCCGAGTTTTAGGGTGGTAAAAATTTTTGGTTGGGACACTGAGTATATTTAAAGCTACTTATAAGCTACCATTAAATTTATAAGAAGTATATTTAAAGCTATTTATAAGCTACCATTTTTTTTTAATTAACCATAATTAAAATAAAAATATCTTGTATTTGTATAACGAGAGTATTAGACAACTTAACTAAAATACAAATCCCATCCTAATTAAGAGAGAAGTTAGACAAGACGACGTAATATCTCCAAAGCTTTTTAATCTAGCCCTTGAAGACATCTTCAAAACTACAAATTGGTAAACATAGGGCATCAATGTTAATTAAGTTAAACTACCTGAGATTCGCTGACGATATCGTGATTATAGTGAGCACATTCGAGGAATTACAAATTATGATAAAGGAACTCGCAGACAGCTCCCAATATGTCGGCCTTTAAAATGAACATGACAAAAACAAAATCAATGACCAACACAGACGATCCAAGACGTGTAACTATAAATGGCAGTAACATGAAACAAGTCCAGGAATATATCTACATAGGCTGAATTCAGAAACTTGACAAAGAAAAAATAATCGATTACTGCCATCGACCACTAACATTCAATTTCAATCAACTATTTATAATACAATTGATATTTGAGGCAGATAAAGTTCCTCTTTTTTCAGTAAAATAAAGTGTTATTTTATTGCCGCTAATGAGTACACTTTAATGACGATTTGCGATAAAATAGTTTTTTTATTTAAGTATTTGACATAAGAAATAATATAAAAATACCTACTTACTTACTTAACTTACCGATATTTTTTATTCCTAAAATATGAGCTACTGCATCTATTGGCTTTTTGGTGGTTTCCATGCTTGCTTTGTCATGTTTTTTACCAGGTACTACACTAGATACAATAGTATGTGTGTCCAACATTAACCTTTCCAGAGAGTTTAAACATGACTCTATTTTCTGGGGTAAGAGGCCGATTAATTCCTATTAGAAAATGCGAAAAAATATTACAAAGATCATTTTTTATATGGATTTAAGTTCATTTGTACTTAAATTTTTAATATTCTTCCATGGCTACAATATTTTCTAAAGAAGAATGAGCAAAAGTATAAGCATTCTCAGAAAATATTTAATATTTCATTAAATGGCATAAAAAATTAACCTTTATTTTTTGTCAAATTTTAAGTCAAATTTGATAATCAAAAAGGCATGTAACATTTTCTCGTTGTCTACATGGATGTTCTCATTATAATTGTTACATAACAATTATAATACATAACAATTTATCTTTAACATAACTAATATGCAACTATTTTTATTTTGTATTTAGATTAAAATGATCTGTCAAGTATCTGAAGCAAGAAACATGTTCTCTTTTGTTTCGTGGCAATTCCGTCTTCATTTATAACACAAAATTTTTGTCTACCAGCAATTTTAAAGTGAATACTAGTCAATCGATCGGTGTTTGTACGATCTCCAAATAATATTTAACGTGACTAAGTAGAGTAAAGTAAAGGTAAGTAAAGTAAAGTAAAGTAAAGTAAAGTAAAGTAAAGTAAAGTAAAGTAAAGTAAAGTAAAGTAAAGTAAAGTAAAGTAAGTAAAGTAAAGTAAAGTAAAGTAAAGTAAAGTAAAGTAAAGTAAAGTAAAGTAAAGTAAAGTAAAGTAAAGTAAAGTAAAGTAAAGTAAAGTAAAGTAAAGTAAGTAAAGTAAAGTAAAGTAAAGTAAAGTAAAGTAAAGTAAAGTAAAGTAAAGTAAAGTAAAGTAAAGTAAAGTAAAGTAAAGTAAAGTAAAGTAAAGTAAAGTAAAGTAAAGTAAAGTAAAGTAAAGTAAAGTAAAGTAAGTAAAGTAAAGTAAAGTAAAGTAAAGTAAAGTAAAGTAAAGTAAAGTAAGTAAAGTAAAGTAAAGTAAAGTAAAGTAAAGTAAAGTAAAGTAAAGTAAAGTAAAGTAAAGTAAAGTAAAGTAAAGTAAGTAAAGTAAAGTAAAGTAAAGTAAAGTAAAGTAAAGTAAAGTAAAGTAAAGTAAAGTAAAGTAAAGTAAAGTAAAGTAAAGTAAAGTAAAGTAAAGTAAAGTAAAGTAAAGTAAAGTAAAGTAAAGTAAAGTAAAGTAAAGTAAAGTAAAGTAAAGTAAAGTAAAGTAAAGTAAAGTAAAGTAAAGTAAAGTAAGTAAAGTAAAGTAAAGTAAAGTAAAGTAAAGTAAAGTAAAGTAAAGTAAAGTAAAGTAAAGTAAAGTAAGTAAAGTAAAGTAAAGTAAAGTAAAGTAAAGTAAAGTAAAGTAAAGTAAAGTAAGTAAAGTAAAGTAAAGTAAAGTAAAGTAAAGTAAAGTAAAGTAAGTAAAGTAAAGTAAAGTAAAGTAAAGTAAAGTAAAGTAAAGTAAAAGTAAAGTAAAGTAAAGTAAAGTAAAGTAAAGTAAAGTAAAGTAAAGTAAAGTAAAGTAAAGTAAAGTAAAGTAAAGTAAAGTAAAGTAAGTAAAGTAAGTAAAGTAAAGTAAAGTAAAGTAAAGTAAAGTTAAAGTAAAGTAAAGTAAAGTAAAGTAAAGTAAAGTAAAGTAAAGTAAAGTAAAGTAAAGTAAGTAAGTAAAGTAAAGTAAAGTAAAGTAAAGTAAAGTAAAGTAAAGTAAAGTAAGTAAAGTAAAGTAAAGTAAAGTAAAGTAAAGTAAAGTAAAGTAAAGTAAAGTAAAGTTAAGTAAAGTAAAGTAAAGTAAAGTAAAGTAAAGTAAAGTAAAGTAAAGTAAAGTAAAGTAAAGTAAAGTAAAGTAAAGTAAAGTAAAGTAAAGTAAAGTAAAGTAAGTAAAGTTAAAGTAAAGTAAAGTAAAGTAAAGTAAAGTAAAGTAAAGTAAAGTAAAGTAAAGTAAAGTAAAGTAAAGTAAAGTAAAGTAAAGTAAAGTAAAGTAAAGTAAAGTAAAGTAAAGTAAAGTAAAGTAAAGTAAAGTAAGTAAAGTAAAGTAAGTAAAGTAAGTAAAGTATAAGTAAAGTAAAGTAAAGTAAAGTAAAGTAAAGTAAAGTAAAGTAAAGTAAAAGTAAAGTAAAGTAAAGTAAAGTAAAGTAAAGTAAAGTAAAGTAAAGTAAAGTAAAGTAAAGTAAAGTAAAGTAAAGTAAAGTAAAGTAAAGTAAAGTAAAGTAAAGTAAAGTAAAGTAAAGTAAAGTAAAGTAAAGTAAAGTAAAGTTAAAGTAAAGTAAAGTAAAGTAAAGTAAAGTAAAGTAAAGTAAAGTAAAGTAAAGTAAAGTAAAGTAAAGTAAAGTAAAGTAGAGTAGAGTAAAGTAAGAAAGCTCACAATGAAGTAAAAACTTTTTTTTTGTAAAATGGTAAATTTTATTATTAAAAATTTTAAAAATTGTCCAAAATGGATTTATAAATTTTCAGAACGTTTTAGATCCTATAAGATCATAATCAGTGAAAAACGTATATATAATAGTTGTAACATACGACTCACATTAAATTACATAATTTGATTAACTAACATTATAATTATTAAGACACTATACGCCAGCAAATAAATATTGAAATAAGTCAAATGCGTAATATCGTATAATTTAGCTGTCCTTATGAGTTTTACCAAGAAGAGTATCAGTAGCGGAGAATTTATTTTTTATTTAGCGTATGGCATATTAAAACACACATTAGAAGCAATATTTTTATAAAAAACGTTAAATGGAGTATTACAAACGAACATCTAATATATCAATATAATCTAAAACATTTTCAGTCTCATCAGGAATTCCATCTTCTTAGTTTTTCTTGCTGTTCTGTCAATATATTACCCTCCTTATCTCTTTACTTCTTTTGTTTGAATTCCTTTTTGCTTTTGTTCAGTTTCTGGTAAAATTTTCTAGTCTCTATTGGCTTACTTAGATCTTGTAGTTCTTAAGTTCTTTGTTCATAGTTTCTCTCTTCTTTCTGCGGTGGATTTTCCATTGTTCCTTGCGTAGTTATTTATATTCCTCCTCTGCTTGTCAGGTTCTGTACCCCTGTTGCATCATTAAATATTATGTTTTTTCTCTATTTATTATAAATCGATATTCTTCGTCAAAACAGTCATTCGTTCCTGTTTTTCTTTGTTTACCTTTCATGCCAGTTATTCCTCATCTGCTTCTTTCATGATATTTCTGCATTCTTCCCTCTCTTTATTTATGTTTTCATGTTTTAGTTATTTTCTAGTTTATTGTTTATATTCTTAACTTTTGTTTGTAGGTATCGGAAAATCTTTCTACATTGCATCGTTCATGTTTAGAACCTATTGCCTTTTTTAAACGTTTAAAATTCTGGCCCTTACCCTACTTTAGATCTAGTAGTGATCAGAACCCGCATTTATCATATTTACTGTAAGTCCTTCTGGTATGTTCCAGGTGCGTTTGTGTATACATGTTTTCGAGCGAAGATAAAATCATATCTTCGGTTTCAAAAAAAAACTAGGTGATATGAAAGAAAGTCACTTTTGAAATCAGAGCATCAAAAATATTTAAAATTCATTATTTCTGAAGCACCATTTTTTTTTGTTTTGATGGGTTATGTTATCATTCGTGTTTCATACCATGCATATTAAACGTTTACTTTGTATTCCAATTTTTTCTTTGACAGAATTTTTAGTGTTTTATTGACGCTTATAAAATAAAAGTAGGTATTTGTTTTATTGTGTAGCTGTGGCAATCTGCTGATTCGGCTATTGTTTCATCTATTGTGTCTATGTTTTTATTATTATTATTATTATCCCGGTTTTTTATAGCGTTCTCCGCCTTCCGGTTCCCAGTTTCCAGCTACGTCGGTCATTCCATTCGCCAGGGTGAAGGTTTCTTTCCGACATTGCCTTCTGAATGCCGCCCAGCCAGGATTGTTTTGGCCTTCCTCTCTTCCTTCTTTCCCTTGGCGTCCATTTTAAAATTTGGTTTGGCAGCCTGTCGTCGTCCATTCTTTTCACATGACCATACCAGATCAGTTGTCTCCTTTGAATTTCGTCAATGATGGTTGACTTGACTCCCATTATATTTCTGATATGGTCATTTTGTATTCTATCAAGCCTTGATTTTCTAGCTGATCTTCTCCAGAAGTCCATTTCCAATGCAAGTAGGCGTCGCTCAAGGGATTTAGTAAGTTGCCATGTTTCGCATCCATAGAGCACTATACTTTTAAAGATGGAGTTAAAGAGGAGATGCTTTCTTTGATTTGATAGTTCTTTTGACCATAGCATCGGGTTTAGGCATCCTATCACCCTTTTTCCTTTCACGATTCTTTGCTCTATCTCTTTTTCGGTGCGCCCACTCTTGTTGATTGTTGTTCCCAAATATATATATTCCTCACAGTTCTTGATTGTTTCATGTTCGTTGACCATTAGATCTTCTACTTCATTCCCGATGCATAAGTATTGCGTTTTGTTTCTATTTACAGAGAGGCCCCATTCTTCATATGTTTTAAACAACCGTCTCGTCATGAATTCTAAATCTTCCTTGTCTGCTGCCACTACTACTTGGTCGTCCGCAAAATGTAGAGTGTATAATGTTGTATCGTCGTCAAGTTGGATCCCCATTCCTGAACAGGATCTTCTCCAGTGTTTTAGTGCTTCATTTAAATAGATCTTAAATAGTATTGGAGAGAGGCAGCATCCTTGTCGTAAGCCTTTTGTTACTGGAAATTCTTCTGATAAGGTGTTGTTTAGTTTGATTTTTGATGATGCTTTATTGTATAATTGTTTGACTGCGGCGATGATCGTGCTATTTAATGAAGATCGTTCAAGAGACTGCCACAGCTTTCTCACAGGAATCGTGTCATATGCTTTTGTGAGATCCACAAATAAAAGATGTATTTCCTGGTTTCTTGCAACTTTCTTTTCATTCAGTTGTGTTAGGGTAAATATGTGGTCTACGCAAGATCTTCCAGCTCTAAATCCTGCTTGCTGTTCAATTTCATGAGGTTCGTATTCTTTCTCAATCATGTTTTTTAAGATTTTACCAAACAGCCTGCTAAAGGTACTGGTGACAGAGATACATCTGTAGTTTCCGCAAATATCTTTTGGACTTTTTTGTGAATTGGAGTAATCCATGCTTCTTTCCAACTATTCGGGATTTCTTCCCCATTTAAGTATCTTGTGAATAGCACTTTAAGATAGCTTATTAGTTTTGGTGTTCCGTTTTTAGAAGTTCTGCTGGTATGTTCTCCGGCCCGGATGCTTTGTTATTCTTCATCGATTTAAGCGCTTGTTGTATTTGTTCTTCTTCCACGTTTACATATTCACCTTGTACTCGTATTCGTTGAGGTGAGTCAGTATTATAAATATCTCTGTCTTCATTCAGTTCCCTTGCGTAATGATCTTTCCATGTATCTATCTGGATGGGCTGTATTCGACTTTTATTTGATGTGTCGGTTTTCAGGGTTTTTATTAATTTCCATGCCGCTGATGATCGCGCTCCTCCGATGTAACAGTCAACTTCTTTACATTTTGCATCTCATGTTTCATTTTTGTTGTTCCTTGTCATATCTTTAAATATTCTTTGCTGTTCTTTGTATATTTCTTTATCTTCAAGATTCTTAGTGTTCAGCCATCTTTTGTACGCTTCCTGTTTCTTATTTCTTTGCTCTTCAAGCTGTGTATTCCAAGTGATTTTTTCCGCTGATCTGTGGACTGTTCTGGTTTCTTCGCCTAGAGCTTCTTGGACTGCGTGGTGAATACAGTCAGTTAGTTGTATAGTTGGTTGGTTTCAGCAGTTAGATATTCCTCGAGTAGTTTTTCATTTAATCTATTTTGGTATAAGAGTTTAGTGCTATATTCTTGTAGGCTTCTGACATTATATCTCTTCAGATTTATATCAGTTCCTTTTGGAGTGTTGATGCTTTCAACGTGTCGATTAAATCGAATTAGAGTCTTAGCCGCAACCAAATAATGGTTAGATCCACATTCCTTACATATGTAAGCCTTAGTGTCCTGGATGTTTAATTTAGTGTTTTGTTTTGTAATGACTTCGATAGTCGATAATAGATTTTATGTTTCTAGTGTCTTGGTCCCAAGTGTATTTATGTATATCTCTATGTTTGAAATATCTTTGTCTTTGTTTTGCTGCGTCATTTCGACATAATGTCAGGATATTGATTAATTCCGGTATTAAATTGACTTGTCGGTTATTGTGCTATTATCTAGTGCATTATTTTTATGTTAGATACTATTTTATTAGGAATAAGCCACAATTGAGGGTTAAAATAAAGGTTAAATAAATAAGTTTATTGACGTTTCAATTTTCACTTTGGAAATCGTTCTTTAAATATAAAACTTTCATTATTATAAGCAGAAATATAATAGTCTATTGTTAAAATGTAAAGTGACCAGCAAGAAAACATCTTTTCTGATGCGCTGCCAATGTTCGAATTTATAATTTCCGACAATGCATGATAAAATGCCTGATTTTGACTACTTTTGACCACTTATTCGTGATTTATAGTTTCATTTAAAATTTGCCAAACTATAGGTCGATAAAAAATATATCTTTTAAGGGAATTTTCGCTTAAAAAATGTATAGGTTCTGTATAAAGGAGTTTGACAGTAGAAATGTGCTACGAAATATTACAAAAAGATTCTTATCTCGAAATTCATCAATTTTTAGTGGAACTATTTTTAAATAATCAATTAAAACGTCAACCTCATTATTTTGCTCATAACTTAAAAACTTATCCATTTAAAGTGTTGACATTAGCAGACAACGTTTTAAAAAAAATACACAAAATAAGATATGCTAAATTAAAATCGATTATTAAACAAAAAGTTATTACAAAATGAAAAACACAATCTCTATTTTTAAATATTGTTAATAACCTTTTTATTCTTTATTAAAATTTGTTTAAATGTACAGTTGCGGTCACGGAATAGTTTACAGGTTCACGTATCTAGGAGCCCATTTTTTAAATTTTTACTTCGTTTAAACGCACCTTTTACGTCAAAGTGACGTTGCCAGTGGTGTACTAGCTAGAATAGGTAGATTAAAATTAAAATATCAAAATATTTTACAAAATGAAAAATATAGAAAACAGTTTTTTGAATAAAATGGATTATGATCTTAATAACGAAAATAAAGAAGTCTTTTTTTTTAATATGCATTTTATTTTAAATCTATTTTATATTAAATAACGATAAACAATGATAAATAATAATTAATATTTGGTGGAAGCCCCATTCTTGTCAATACAATTTTGCAGTCTTCTGTTCATAGATAGCACCAATCCCCTCATGTTATAGTTAACAAGCTCTTCCCATGCCTGCTCAATTGCTTCCCATAATTCAATTCTATTCCGTGGTCTAAGGTTTCTTTCATTTAGTTTCTTTGTTAACTCTGCCCACACATTTTCGACGGGGTTAAAGTCTGCACTACGGGAAGGCCACGGAAGAACATTAACATCAGTTTCTTCTAGCCATTCTCGAACAATTCTACTCGTATGCACCGGGCAATTGTCATGTTGGAAGATAAAGTCGTTGTTGGGGAATCTCTGGATCACCGATGGCAACATTGTGTGCTCAATAATATGTTTGTAATATAATCCTGTTAACTTCTCCTCTACATGATAACAAACGCCCGGGCCTTCGGCACTTATCCATCCCCATACGTTGACAGAGAATCCTCCACTATTTCTTAAATGATGCGTATACTGTTCATCATACCTATGATTTCTCGGCCTATAAACTCTTATTCGACCATTATTATACGACTGAAATACTTTTTCATCGGAAAATACAACCCTAGACCAAAAATTCTCATCGCGGTTTATAAATTCATTACAAAATTCAACTCGTCTCCTCTTGTGATCCTCAGTCAAAAAAGGTTTCCGTGCAGCTACACAATTTAGCAGTCCACTTGCTTTAATTCTTCGACGTGCAGTGCGAATACTGCCTGGAAACGCTGCCTCTTCTCTTGCCTTTTGAGCTGTGGCAAAAGGAGATTCTCTCAAATAATCTACTAACATCTCATCCTGTTGATCTGTGGAAATCTTCTGCCCTCCTGAACCGCCCAACCGTGCTATAGAGTGAAAATTATCCCATCTTTGTTTAATCTTCCATATGCACATATGACTCACGTTCAAATCAGCAGCAACTTGCCTTAGTGACCAACCTTCTTCGAGTTTGGCAATTGCTCTTGCTTTTTGCGCATAATTCAAATGTATTCTAACCATTTTGGAAGAGTTTAATATACTTTTATTTTATTGTTGAACACTCGCGAAAGCATTGACGTTTTGAAATTTTTTGACTTTGACATTTATCAAATCCGTACGACACTGCAATTTTACAGTATTACAATATAAAAAATAAGGTGTAAACTATTCCGTGACCGCAACTGTACCTGAAATTTAGGTTTTTACTTTGTTTGAACTGTAAATAAAAGACGAGTAGGATTAGTTAAATAGTTTTTGCGAAATTTAATTTGTTTCGAAGATTTTTTGAAAAATAGCTAATTTCAAAGATTGGTCCAGATAACTTGACTGAATGGATCTCAATAATCTGGGACTTATTTTCCTTATGGAGACATATATAAATCAATTATTTATTTACTAAAAACTTCAAATCTAGAAAAAATTAAAGCGCATAAAAAGTAAAAAAATGCTAAAAAATAATAATTATTCCTACACTTACTTTTTCTTCGACTCCCAATTTTTGTAAAACTCCCACCTCACCGATAGGTCCCCATTGAATAGCCAATGCTGGTAGCTTGTCCCTTTTGCGTTTCTCACATAACATTTCCACTGCTGAATTAGCCATTCCGTAGTTCATTTGACCAATATTTCCTCTTCCACTAGTAACGGACGAGAATGCTACAAAGTATTTTAAATCCGGACAAAGTTTTCTGCTGCATTTGTCCATATTTTGAACTGATATGATTTTAGGCTTAAATACATCATGAAAGTTTTCTCTTGTTTGTTTTGAGAGTAATTCATCTCTTAGTATTACAGCTAAGTTAAAAATACCTGAGAATAATAACAAGTTTATTAAGAAACAGTGGCAGTATCACTTGAGGCGAAGGCACATACAAGGCGAACCATGAGAAACTGTAATAAAATATATATATATAATATATATATAATCATATAATATAATATATATATATAATATATATATATTAAGTATAATGTATGGTTTTTAAAAACTCTGATAAGAATTTTATAAATTGGATAAATGGATAATTAAAGTGCCACTTTTACTATTTTTCTCAGACGAAAACTTATTTTGTGTGAAATTTTTATTACCAAAAATAAATTTGACTATGAATTAAAGGTTTAGTAAACTGAACCATTGATGTACAAAATTTAACTTTACTTGCAAAATTTTTTTAACAAACATTTAATTTAATATTTAACAAAAAAGCCGGATTTAAGTCAAAGTGTAAAAAATCAAGTCGGGTTTAAAAAAAATTGTTTATTTATAGTTTATAGAAATAATCTCACATTTTTTTAACAAACATTTAATTTAATATTTAACAAAAAAGCCGGATTTAAGTCAAGTGTAAAAAATCAAGTCGGGTTTAAAAAAATTGTTTATTTTATAGTTCATAGAAATAATCTCACCCTGTATACGGTTTCGGAAAATTCTAATTTTAGTCATTTTGTAAATACGACAAATAGGCACTTAAAATGATTTACATACATCAAAATAATTCAAAGGAGACCTATAACAATCGCTTTAAATCAATGTTAGCCGAAAATACAAACAAAAAAATTATGTTTTTCATCTTTTTTTTTTTTGTTGTTTTATCGATTATTGTACCAACTTGAAGGCAACGCTGATAAGAAGGCTAGAAAAAATTACTAGCGTCTAGAGCCTGACCCACTATTCTGTGTAGACTTGCGCAGTTCATTTGTATTCATTTCTGAATGTGTCAACACCGAAGTGTCAATGAGGTTTATAATATCTATTTATTAAATGATGAATAGTTCCTCGAAAAGCTCTGTTTTTTTTTAATATTTTTTGTTGCGCATATGTTTCCAATAAAAATGTGTTATACAGAGTGTGATGTCATGTAAATACTGATGCCAACTTTATTATTTTAGATGGAACACCAGGTATATTATTTAGTTATTGGATCCAATACAAAATACAAAGAACTTTATCAATATATTGGATTGCCATGCTTTTATTTAACTGTTTTTATTATACAATGTATTAAAGGCACAATCCCTTCTATATTAACTTTTAAATATATAGCCTGTAAAACTACTATGTACATTCCATTTCACACCTGGTAAAAATATAGGCAGGTTTCATTTATTTGACATATCTATTTTAAAAGAATATAGGTACATATCTTAGAGTACTATATACATTATTAAAAACAAGTTGAGATACGAAAATGAACTCACTCTTCTTTATTGAAATTAGGTATAGAACCTTTTAAAGTCATAAGGAGACACGCAGAGAGTGATCTATTCATTAACCACCCTGTATCCTAAAATAAATAATTAAAACTATAACATGCAATATATCAAAGTTCTGGGAATTTTGTGCATAATCCAAAAAATTTATAATATACCTAACCAATGTTTCATTTAAAATAAGAAAGTTGGTATATAGTAATTGATATATAACATCAGTCAACATCCTGTATATAAAATAACAAATTTTTATTGGAAAAAATGCGCAAAAAGTATTTTTTAAAATACTTTTTAAAACTATTTTAAAAAACCTTTAATTTTGATTTGCTATTATTTACTATTAATTTTAGAGTTATTCTTATGCAACCAACAATACACATAAACCTCATTGTCACATTCAGATGTGGATACAAATGAACTGCGCAAGTCTGCACAGAATAGTGGGTCAGGCTCTAGACACTAGTGAAAAAATTTAACAAAACTTCAATAATCTCTTTTTGACTATAAGATTAAAAGTGATAGTTGTTGGCCGGTCACTAGTGATTGGCCACTTTCACAAAAATCCGAAATATTAAGATTTTCAGAAACTATAACGAAATAAATTTACTTACATTTAAATTTTGCAACATTGCTGTATATTTAGTCTAGCTATTATCTCTCTCAGTTAATATTATATAGTTGTTACGGCGTGTGTTGTTGAAGCTTAACAGGTGCATCCAGTTTTGAGAGTTTTTTAAAGAATTTGTTAAGAAAGGCTATTCACGAGGTGAGCTATCTTGGCTAATAGTATTATGTATCTGGGTATATTAATGTTTTTTGTACGATTTAGTACGCATTGTTGGCGGTAAATTTAAGTGGCCAAGCTCTGTATCTTAAATTTGTCCGTGGTATAATGATTGGCCTACTGGCCAATTACTGTACCTAATTCGAATTAAAATATTTATTATAATTTAGACTTTTTTAGCCTAGTTTGATCCAATAAAAGAGATTTTAAACATTTTTTCTTATTTTTAAAGGCAATAACTAGTGGTTGACCGACTGCCAATCACTAAACCACAGGGTGGCCAATAACTAATTTGTACTAAAAATATATTTTTTGTCCAAATTTGTATTTATAAAATTACAATTGTTTTAGTTGTTTAATAAAATTGCTGCTAATGTGGGCATATTGAATTAAATTTGGAACGTCCGTATAACGTAAGATAAAACGTATCACAAACAATATACAGAACAAGATCTTCAGTCTGCTTTTCAGACCATAGAAAATGGCATGAGCCAACGAAAAGGCGCTAAACAATTTAATGTGCCAAGAGCAACATTACAGTTTAGAGTAAGTAAAAAATTTAATGCAAAAGCTATCTTTGGTCCCAATCCTATTATTGGGAAGCAAAAATGTATATCAAATAGAGCATCACTATAAAGTTAATTTGACGCTTATGTTTATCCTTGCAGCATCTGGAGAAATAACAGTACCAATTATTATTTACCCTTATAAACAAATTTCTAGCAATATTTTAAATTCCGTTCCACGAGAATGGCTGATAGGATGTAGCGTACCACATGGATGAAGAACGAAAACTTCTATGAATACATAGAAAACGTCTTATATAAGTATCTAGTTGCGAAAAACACTAATTTTCCAATCATTTTGTTCGTTGATGGACATAAAACTCACTTAACCATTCAAACCAGTGAATTATGTTCAAAGTTACAAAATATTTTAGCGGCTTATATCCCAATGCAACCAGAATTATACAACCTGCAGATATTGCTGCATTAAAACCATTAAAGGCAAATTGGAACTGGGCAGTATTAAAGTTTAGACGCGAAAACCCGAACTCAGTAGTTACCAAAGAGAATTTTGCATTGGTACTAAATACAGCCATTAGTCAATTAAAATCAGATTCCATAATTAATGGCTTTAAAGCATCTGAATTGTATCCATGGAATCCTGAAACAATAGACTATTACAGAAATATCAAAGACCCGCATAAAGGTATTAATCACACTATTTCTATGACAACATCAATAACATAATATGAAAATTTTTTAGACACAGTTTGAACCGCAAAAATATCAGAATTTCTAAGTTTGGATAATTGCGAACAACTAAGTGGAAATTCAAAATTGCTCTTTAATATATTTAATTTATTTCAAAATACTATAGATCTACCTACGATTTAAACTACAGAGACAGGCGGAATCGCAAATGATACACAAGATGCATCTATTATCACAGCACAAAACATAAAAAACACATAGAATATAAAAGATGATTTTCTGACTATAACAATCTCACAGGATATCTAATGTAATACATATATCATACAATAATTTCATAGGATCAAGGTATAGGTAATAAATATATAGGTTTTATACAGTTTTATATTTTACTCATAAACCAATTCGCTACTTACCTCCAACAGGACCCAACTCTTGAGCAATATTAATTAAATTCTCCGCTCCTTTCTCAGTACTAGTATCACTAGTATCTATTTTTACGATTATATTTTTATAACTTAGCCACTTTTTAAAATAATACGACTGTAATCCATCTAGCACATCTCTTCTGGAATTTATAATTATCTTAGTAGCACCTTTCTGAATTAACCATCCTGTTAACTCCAAACCAAATCCACCCAAACCTCCTATTATAATGTAAGATTCCTGCGAGTTTAGACATAGTTTAGGAGTTGCGGATATACTTCTTATAGGTCTATTTATAGGATAAAGTTCTTCTTTACGAATTTCCACCACTACTTTTCCTTTGTGTTTACCAGACGCCAAAAATCTGAATGCGGACTCTATATTACTTTCTTCAAATAAAATACTTGGTAAAGGTTTAACAACACCATCAACAATACCTAAAATAATTGATAAAGATAAGGTTAAAACTCTAAATCATTGAATTTATGTCAGTAGAGTCTCAGCAAGTTTTATATGAAAGAACGTTCTGATCGAAATCTGTAAGAACGATGTTGTTTTAAACAGGCAAATGATCGTGTTCTGGTTATAAAACCCTACATCTTAGGGCTGACCAAGATAAAGCAGGCAGAGGTACTTACAGAATACAAAAGCTGGTATTTGAGGTCAAGTGCATCTAACGAGAGCTGTTTTCGTACAATCGTCGCTTGTCGCAGCAGATAAAGATTAAGGTAACAGCACGATTCGGATAGGCAATTGCAACAATAAAAGAGAGTACGTTGCACGTTGAGTGACAGGCAAATCATAATTACAGGACGTTTTGTTAAAAAAATAACAGCAGGACATTGTGATAACAGAAACAACGGCAGAACAACGAGGCAAACAGAATTGACTACAAATTCTATCGTAATATCCATTTATTTTGATAAGGCTCAAATTTTCGTCCAAAAATCGGGAGTTTTGATGCTTACGCAAGATTATATTACGCATAATTATAAATAAGGATATAGAACCGTTTATCGAGAACACGTGCGCACCCAGTGGATTTGTTAAACATGAAAAGGGAAAAGGGTTGGAAGGAAATAACTGAGAGATACACTAAACACACTTAAAAATAATATATTTAGAAGAAGAAAAATTTTAAGTTAATAAAGAAATTTATATTTTTTTGGAATTAGTAATAACTCCACGATGGAGGAAATCCTACACCTAGCGAATCGCTGTTAATTTCGATTATTGATAATAAATATTTTTTACCAGTCAATTGATGGAAGTAAATTTTTCCTCCGATTTACAATTAAACGCAATATTTATAATTGCCAGCCTGGAACTGAGTTGTCTATATTACATTTCTGTCAAAATTTAGTTAACATCAGATTTAGATATTGGAAGCCAAAATTTTTTGATAATGGCTTCTCTATCTAGGAAACCTTCTAATACGGGAACGTATTAGAAGGTTTCCTAGATAGAGAAGCCATTACGGAGATAGGGTTTCACGTTGATTGTATTTAGAACCATTATTGACTGTAACACAGGTGTATACTTCATTCAAATATAAATGTGAGGCTGAAAGAAAATGAATTTCAAATTGCTTTAAATGATGAGGCAAAATGTAAGAAATTACAGAAACAAAGAAACTGCACATTGACATTGCTGCAAAAGCTAGAAAAAGGTTAAATGATTTAAAAAGAGATTTCCTACAACCCGGACATACTAGTGTATTTCCAGTTTAAAAACTTTCGATTTAAAAAGGACACTTCCATTGCCCCACCTAAATATATGAGAGATGTACTATTTAAGACAACTGCACGCCTTAGCTTGGGAATACATTCCTATCAACATTGTGGAGAAAAATTATCTATGAATTTGTGGTATAAAACTAAGGGCGTTAGAAGGCTCCAGGAAGTAACTAGTTGTCTGTACTAGTATGTTAAAAACAATATCTCCAAGTTCGCTACGAAATTGTTATTGTTCAGTGACTGTTGCGGTCGTCAAACACTGAAATGTGCTGCCTAATATTCAAAAAATTTATATCTATTATCTCGTTACAGATCATATGTATTTTCCTAATGATTCTGCCTTTCCTTTTATCAGTCGAGTATAAAACAAAGAAAGTAACATCTACAAGCTATGCGAATGGATTGATTTAATTGAAAACTACAGAAAACATAACCCATTCTATAGAAAATGTCAAACCGACAGTGCAGTATGGCTAATATAGGAATACACAATTGCCGGATTTCATGCCTTGTGCTTGGCTATACACACAAGTCGAAGTGGTAGTCACAGAACCGTACCCAGATCTCTACGCCGGGCTCTGTTATTTATTATAAAATAATGTATTGATAAAATAATTGCCTTCAAGTAGCCAAATAAGAGGCATGAATTTGAATAAAAAGATCTTAAGTTTTTAGCGAGAATTTTATTATAAAACTGTATACTTTATTAAACTACCATATGTATTTTAAATAATATTTCTTGATAGCTATAAATATACTGGGTGGAACCTCCGGTAACTCGATTTCCGTGCACCCAGCCCAATATCCAAGAAAAACTTTTTCTTCTGCGAATCTGAAGTATAGTTTTTGTCCTTGTTAAAACATAATGCAGTCTCGCATTTTTTACACACAACATAAGTTTACCTAGTTCCTTGGCATAGCAACCTGGTAGTTTTCAGCGAAACCTTGTGTTATTCCATATGGGATAACTGTCAATATAATTGTCAATAACTCATCAATGCCTTTTTATTCTACTTTATACGTATACATGATATAAAATATTTTACTCGTACTGCCGGCAGATGCATTTTATCCAAGCCGGTCCTGTGAGACAATGAGCAATCAACAGCTGGAGAAAACCGACAACCCTGCGCGTTTATTCTCCATAAGAAAAGCATTGACGTATCTTACCCGTACTGCACTCTCAGTGTGACATTTTCTATAGGTAAATGATATGGTTGGAAAATTTGTGTCTAGTGAACAATTAAACGGAGTTTCGTCAAGACTATCAAAGTTTATTTACCAACAGGGTGCTATATCTAAAATGCGTAAAATAAAACTGCCTATATCGAGCAAGAAGAGTGGTTGAAAATATGTTTGCTATATTGGCTTCTCGTTTCAAAGTACTACTAAGCATAGTTTCATTTAAAAATGTCAAAAAAATAGAAAAAGTAGTAATGGCATGTTATGTTCTTCATAATTTTTTAAGAAGGAAGCGCTTTATATACACAGTCGCTCTAGTGATCGCGAGGACAGTAATCACAACATTCAAGATGGCAGCTGGCGTCAAGAGCTTCGTCAATTACAAGGTTTACAAAATAAAAAATCCTATTAGAATGATATTGCCAAAAATGGCATAAAAGCATTTAACCAATACTATAATAATGAAGAAGGACGAATTTAATAAAGATGAAGGTCTGCCATAATTATCTTTATTAAATTGTCTTTGTCTCTTTCTTTGTTTAAACGGATCAAAAATAAATAATAGGTAGTTGATAAATATATGACTTCCCATTATTCCACTTTTACTGTCCCCTTCCTCAACAGTCCCCAACCTCTTGTTGATCTTGTGTGAAAAACAGTAGGTCAAAATACCACAAGTTGGGTTTATAAAAAATGTCGATAGATGACCCAGTTCTCTTAGTCTTTCTCATTTCTCTTAACTCACGTCGAAATCCAGCACGCAAGGAATCTAGTTTCTTTTTGACATACTTTACATCTGCATCTGGGCAAATTTCTTGGCATTTTTGAACTAATTCTTCATATACCTTTTTTCGCAGTTGCCTGTTAGAATATTCTTTACTTTTTACATTCCACAAGCATGACTTCGATATATATAACAAAATAAAAATTTCTTAAAATAGTTTATTTTCCGCGAATGCCATTTTAATGTAATATATAAATACGCATTTACTATTGTGGTAAGAATACAAAATTCAACAGGTAATCTTCGTTCGTCAAACAAATTCGAAACTATTCACACACATGCGTATATGTCCGTATACGTCGTTTGTCGTCTTGAACCACAGACGGCGAGCAAGATGGCGTAGGCATGCATACACATATGTGGATATGTCCGGAGGATTTGTCCGTCTGACCCCCCGTACACATAGACCACTCTAGTTCCAGATTGGCCAATTCGGTTTTTCGCAATTTGATTAGGTACAATTTCCAAACTGCAACTTTAAATGTGAGTAAAACATCTTATTTGAAGTACAGTTATTGTTAAAATATTGTCAAATTTTTGTTGCCTTGGCTGACTTCTGGTAACGACTCTCCGACAAAGGAAAATTATTTTCCCTCAGATATATATATATATATATATATATATATATATATATATATATATATATATATATATATATATATATATTCATCACTTTTTGAAACGGATACATACCTTTTGCTACCAGCTGCTGAATATCAAGTTTAAAATTATTCTGTGGATATAATAATTGATCTAAATGTACTCCATGAAAAGAAATATTTTTAAGAAACATGTTAGTGGGTATCGCAGATGAATTTGTTAAATCCACTTTGCCTATTTCTAAAAATCTTCCTCCTTCAGCTAAACATCTGATTGATGCTTGAAACAAAGTATCCGATAAAGAGTTTAGTACTACATCTACACCTCTTCCATTGGTATTTTCTTTTATCATGATTTCAAAAGATTTATCTCGTGAATATCCTAAAAGGGTACAATATTTAATAATGCAAACATAGTTATAAAAATAACTAAACAAAGAAAATTAATGCCAACCTAGTAATACTAGTTATATAGTGACATAAATATACAACCAAAATAATTCAACAACCAAATCAAGTCTTCCATAATATACGTATAGGCTATTGATTATTTAAAAAAAAAAATAGAACTAAAAGGAACTACTACCTAAAAATGGTTTCATTGTTTCATATGGTCAATGGAGTCCCAAATATGAAAAAAAGGATGAATTTCTCACAATGCCTTAGAGTGCATTAGGGTGAATTATATGCATATTATATATTACACATATAAATGTATACATATACAGTATAGGTAAAAGTTTATGGTCGGTATGGACCTTACAAGAGATGGAGTGAGAAACACCTGTTTAAAAAGAAAGAGGTATATTAGGTCCGCTCTTTATATCGCCGAAAATGCATTAGAGGAAATAATAAAAAAGGGAAAGTTCAACGTTGCCAAACTTATTGGTTTTATTTGACCTGTTGTCTTTTTAGCATTTGAACAATGTTCTAAGATAATCAAATTTGGCAAAATTGATTTAAATGACAGCTTACTGTTTTTTATTTGGAATATGCCACAATTTTACTTTACAATATGTGTAGTTTAACATTAATAAAATGTATTAATGTTTCGTATTTTAAGAACGATTTCCGAATTAAAAATCTAAACATCAAAATAAACTTATTTTAAAGTCAGATTGTGCTTTATTCACAATAAAAATAATAAACTGCATTATGACGCCACAATAAAAAACTTTCATACAAAATTATTTAGCAATGTCGCGTCTTGCGTCGTCAAAGTACTCGCGACAGTGGTAACGAGTAGAGGTGGGTCGTTGACGTTTTTATCGTTAACGAAACTGAACCGATTTTCGTAAACAAGTAACTTTTTGATTGTTTAACAGTAGTTTCAAGTAAGAGAGTACCTACATAAACAAACATAATGGCTATTATCGTTTATGTGTATATTTATTGAAGTGAAAGAAACGAATGAAAGATATATTTATTAAAACATGAAAAATAAACTAAACAGTACAAATAGTAAATCTTGCTTACATTACATGTTACGGTTGAATTTACCGAAAGTACAAGCTGGTTATAGCCGTAAATGTCAAACATGGAACAAAAAATTTTGGTACAGCAGTGTTGGCATGTTTTTATAATGTAGATGCTGTATGTGTATGCTTTGTGATTCTCGAATAAAACTAGAAATTCGACTACGTTTATCAAAATGCTACGTCTGGTCGACTCTTTTATATGCAGTTGAAACGTGGACCCTAAAACATCAACCGTAAACAAATTGGAGGCCCTTGAAATGTGGATCTACCGGAGAATACTCAAAATTTCACGTACATCGCATACCTCAAACGAAGAAGTGATGAATAGAATAGGCAAGGAAAGAGAACTTTTTAACACAGTAAAAGTTAGAAAAACATTATACCTAGGCCACATGCTGAGAAATAATAAGTACCAATATGCCCAACTTATAGTGAAAGGAAAAATTAAGGGAAAGAGAGGTCTAGGAAGGAAAAGACTATCGTGGCTCAGAAACATCCGACAATGGACAGGGCTAAATTTTGAACAGCTAATAAGAACAGCTGAAGATAGAGAAGAGTTTAAAATTGTGGTAGCCAACCTCCATTGAGGAGAGGGCACTTTAAGAACAAGAAAATGTTGTATGCTTAAAATATAAAAAGAAAGCTTTAGAAAAGTTCATTTTGTTTATATTATGTTATAAATTCTGCAATTTTTGATTTGTATAAAACAATTTGCAATTAATCTCGAAAGAGACAAATATTGACTCGTTATTGCTTCATATAAATTAAAAATTGCAGAGTTTATAAAATAGTGTGATTAAAATGTACTTTTTAAAAGCTTTCTTTCTGTATATTTGAAGCATACAACATAAGCATTATAAAAACACTGCCAATACTGCTAAACCCAAATATTTTTGACATTTGCTGTTATATTCAGCTTGTACTTTCGGTAAACTCAACCCACGTTATTATTAAATCGCGAATCATCTAAATTGACATTTAAAAACATATGTTTTTCTACTTTACTTCTTGTTAACCGTGTCCTTTTTTTATTTAAAATTAAACAAGATTTTGAAGATGTGTTAACAATTACAATATTTTATGAATATAGTGGTTAAGTTAGAATATATATGGCAATGGTTTTTTTACCATTTTAATGAACTCTTGATACAGGTGTACGTTTAGATAAGTCATGTCAAATTATTTGATCAAAAATACACCACGGACTTAAGTCATCTTTATCGGTTTCTTTTTCTTGTACTGGTTGATTTTCAATAGTACAATCTTCTTGTTCTTTAATTATAGAAATAATCAGCTTCTTAACTATTTCTTTTGCTTTTTACCTTAATTTTTATTAGAAATTCCCTGCACTTTAAATTGTGAATCCATAAATGTACATATTGACAATGTGCCACTCAATTCTATCCCTCTAAATCTTTTTGCTAAACCCGATATTATAGTTTATTTTTATGAACGAGAGAGTAATTAGCATAATTTTAACTGGTACCTCCGACCACTCCATGGGCGTGCTCAAGATTAATTGAAAAATTACTTTGAATAATTGTAAAAAATAAATGAATTATTTCAGTGTTATAAAGTGTTATGTGTATGTAAACAAAAGTGACCTCTTTTATCACACACTACATTAGAACTGACTGGCCTACATTAAAAAGGGTTTTAAAAAATTCACATTTTTTTTAATTTTTAAAAATTACAAAAGAGAAAAAGAGTTTTTAAAACCGTCTAAGGTATGTTAAATAGATGAATAAAAATATTAATATAAAACTTACAGCTACTTGTTACAAATCCAAATCAGATTCAGAAGATGAACTTTCAGAACCAAGATTTATAATAACTGGCTCGATCATTTTATCAGTAATATTGTCCAGCTTCCACATTTTTTCCTCTTCTTTAATAGTGTGATTTACTGCCTTTTCCCAGTTTTCAGGTTTTACATTATTTACGGCCTCCAAAAACAACTGTTTAACATCATGAATTTTAAAAGTGGTATTTTTTCTTGAAACTTCACTCTTTATCTGTGCCCATACCAGTTCAATCGGGTTTAATTCACAATGATATGGTGGGGATCTAAGTACTGTCATTCCACGATTTTTGGCAATTTCATCAATTTCGTATTTTTTAAATTTTTCTTTATGAAGGGCACACAACGAATAAAGTTCCTTTCTTATAGATCCGGGATGGTACGTAATATTTTTTGAACTCAGCCAATTCTGCAAGTCTTTTTTTAACCACTTGGTTGTGGGCAGTCCTTCTATAAGTCTGGAGTGATAACTTGCATTATCCATTACTATTACACAGTTCTTAGGAAGAAGATCTATCATTTGTTCGAACCATTCTTGAAAGACATCAGCGTTCATGTCTTCATGGTAGTCACCGGTACGAGTTGATTCAAAAGTTAATAAACCACCTTCAACAAAACCGTCTGAACTGCCAATGTGTACTATTATCAGCCTGCGTCCCTTTCCTGATGGTGGGTTTAAACCAGTAGATAAGTTATTTACAAAAGCGTGCCTTTGACTTGTAACAGTTTCATCCTGCCAAAATTTATTTGGTGTATGACCCTCGTTGATCCATGTTTCATCAAGATAAAATATTTTTCTTTTTTGGTTTCTCATTTCCTTTATGGTTCTTAGAAAATGTCTTCTCCATATGACAATATCGCTTCTTTCTAATAAAATAGACTTTCTGGGATTCTTTTTCCAGCGGAAGCCTATTTCTTTTAAAAGTTTCCATAACGTACTTCGACTCATTTCTGGGTAATCCTTATCATCTCGAACTGAGACAAGAACTTTATCCAATGTTGGAAATTCTTGTCTAAAGAAGAATTCATGCACTTTCCGTCGAAGTCCTTCTTTAAAATGATATTCTATTTGAAATTTTGGTTTCCCTGGAGCATTACGTGGCATTTGAAAACTACCACATTTCTCTTCTTTAATAACTCTGTAAATCGTAGATTTCCCAACACCAAGTGTACTGCTAACTAACTCAACGGTCTCATCAACACTTTCACATAAACGTTTGTCTGTAAATGATTTAAAACAATTAAATATTAATGTTTTTTCATTAACTGTTAAAGGACCAATTTTTCGGCGTTTACACGGCACTTCCAAATTTTCCATAACACTAGTATACACAATAAACTGCACCTTGCAACTGAAGTACCTACTTTTAGTGAACTGTTAAGAATTTTGAATACGCCACTTGGACCTTCCTACAAAATGGAAAAACCCACTATCACATTTTCTGTGGAATAAGTTTAGAAGGTAATTATCTAGTCAATTACTGTCGTAGATTCCTGGAATTAAAGAATTAAATGTTTGATTGTTGAAACCCTTACTTCGTGGAATGCACTCATTTCAGATAAAATAAAACGTTTTATTTTATCTAAAGAATTAAACTTTATTTTGCAAATAGGTAGGTACTTATTAAACTTTTATTGGTTATATATAACCAATAAAATAAACATCTTACATTTCTTGCAAATTCATTAGTACCTGTTAACCTCCATCACTCCGACACTGGCAACCTTATTTAGGGATTAGTAACCCTCACAACTATTGTATTCTATTCTGCTCCAACCTTTATACCTGGTGGTCATACTCAATTTAAAATTGTTTTCCTATATACTCCTGTAAACTTGTTGACAAATATCTGTTTTTCATTGAGTCACCCGTATCAACAGTTTAGGGATTTGCATACATAATTTATTGTTTTATTACTCTCTCATACATAAAAATACACTATAATAATAATAATTAATAATTGTACTACGTCGGATACTATGGATGTAAAGTTACCCTTTTTTAAAATTTTATTGCAAGATTCTTGCAGACAGATTCTTGTTTTAAAATTACAACAGGTATATCTTTTATTTTGAAATAATCTATGTTTATATTTTTTACGCAAATGGCGCTAACGTAAAGAGCAAAAAAGTTAAGCGCAAGTTTATGCCACATATGTGGCATAAACCTATCAGTTATATCAAATATTACAACAAATTTTAATTTCTCATACACAAAAGTCCACAGTTATAAATTTTAAATATATAAATATCCACAAACATGAAAGCTTAAATAAAATAAAAATAAAAATAAAAATATTTTAAAATTTTAAATTTTATCTTTAACATCTTTCTTAATATTAATATTTTATTAGAGCAAGTTAACTGAAATCGTAATATTTTTAAGTGAAGAATCTACTGTTTCTTTTTGTATAATTAAAGACCACCCTGTAAATACATTAAAATTTTAATCTCAAAAGTAAAAATATTTTTTATACCTATGTTTATATCTTTGAGAGACGGAAAAGTATTTTTTAAAAATTGTCTCTTTTCTTTCGTACTGACGGTAGTGTATACTTCACAATCCATAGATAAGGCAATATTGATAGCGGCTAATCCAATTCCTCCTGCTCCAGCGTGTATTAGTATCGAATCTCCGGGCTGTAGCTGACCTCTGATTATTAAACCATAGTAACACTGTAATAAAATATTTTTGTAAAAAGATATAAAGATAAAACGAATACAAGAGGATCCACGCAATAATCAGGCAGATGATAAGACACGCGAAAACACAATTTCATAGTAAAGAATGTAATGAAATTGAACAATGAAAAGAAACACGATACATTTCATCTGCACAAGAAATTAAAAGAAGTCGCTGGAAACAAACGGAAACAAGTATCCCAAAGTTTCGAAGATAGAAACGGACACAGAATATTAGACATCAATGAACAGTTAAAAGAATGGGAAAACTACATTTCTGAATTATTTGAAGATGAGAGAGTAGATCACTATACACCGATTGCTATATCAGGTCCATCTATAACAGAAAGTGAGGTTACATGTTCAATACAAATGGCAAAAAAATGGAAAAGCACTTGGCCCCGATGAAGTAAGTGCCGAAATACTAAAGTTTTTGGGAGAAAATGGAATTAAAGCTCTGTGTAATCTCTTTAACAGAATTTATGACACTGGGATATTACCAACTGATTGGTTAAAGTCGACATTTGTCACAATACCTAAGAAACATCGTCCAAAGACATGCGGTGATTATCGGACAATAAATCTGATGAGTCACGTTTTGAAGATCTTCCTGCGAGTAATACACAGCCGAATTTACACGCTGTTAGAGGACAGAATTAGCAATACTCAATTTGGGTTTAGGAGTGGCTTGGGTACTAATGAAGCCTTGTTTAGTATACAGGTGCTAGTACAGAGATGCAGAGATATAAATCAAAATGTGTACATTTGTGCAATCGATTTTGAAAAGGCTTTTGACAAAGTCCGACATAACAAAATGCTAAAAATATTGGAAACAGCTGGATTGGACGATAAAGATCTACGAATAATTACAAATCTATACTGTCATCAAGTGGCAAAAATAAAGGCTGAACAAGAACTGTCAGATGAAATAAATATAAAAAGAGGAGTGAGACAAGGCTGTACATTGTCGCCTTTACATTTTAACTTATATTCGGAGGAAATATTTAAGAACGCCTTAATGGAGACAATCGAAGGTATTATTGTGAATGGAGTAACCATCAACAATATTAGATATGCCGACGATACCTTAGTGCTTGCTAATTGCGGAGAAGACCTTCAAAATCTAATGAACAAAATAAAACAGACTTGTGATCAGTATGGATTAAAACTCAACGTTAAGAAAACTAAATATATGATAGTTAGCAAACAAAATTATATACAGGATGACGGTATAAAAGTCGGAGATGCCACACTGGACAGAGTAGAGAAACTCGTGTATCTCGGCAGTAATATCAATGAGAGCTAGGATCCAACCGCAGAAATTAAAAGCCGAATAGAACAAGCCCGAGCTGTCTTTGTAAAAATGAGAAACGTACTTTGCAGTCACGATCTTAGCATTGACCTTAGAGTTCGAATGACATCTTGCTACATCTTTCCTGTCCTGCTGTATGGAGTGGAAGCGTGGACTCTAACTGAGGCTATCCTTAAACGCTTGACAGCCTTTGAGATGTGGGTATACAGACGACTACTGAAAATAAGCTGGGTCGACAGAGTTAGAAATGAGGAGGTCCTTAGACGGCTGAACCAAACAACACAACTGGTCAATATAATAAAGAAACGCAAGCTGGAATACTTCGGTCACATTATGAGACACCCTGAAAAATATGATCTTTTACATCTGATCATTCAGGGAAAGATCCAAGGTAATCGTGGTCCTGGTAGAAGAAGAACATCATGGCTGAAAAATCTAAGGCAATGGTATGGAAAATCAACTACATCGTTATTTAGAGCTGCTGTCAATAAAGTCACGATAGCGAATATGGTAGCCAACATGATATCCAACGATCGATAACGGTCATGGAACTAGAAGAAGAAAAATATATAAAAGATTATTCTTTTACTACTGATTTAATTTAAATGCCACAAAAGTGGTTTATTATAATTCTATCTATCTATACAGCCCTTAAAATCCATCCTTGGATATAGGCCTCCTCCTCCTTCTTCCATGCCTCTCTATCTTGGGCAATTTGCATCCATTTTGACCCGGCGTGTTTCTTCAGGTCATCTGACCATCGCATTTGTGGCCTTCCCCTTTTACGTTTGTGATTCCATGGTCTCCAATGTATAATTGTTTTAGTCCATCTTTCATCTTTCTGCCTTAGGGTGTGTCCGGCGAACTTCCATTTAAGCTTTGCTACTTGGGTTGAGACATCTTTCACTTTTGTTTTATTACGGATCCATTCGTTTCTTTTTTTGTCTGATAGTTTAATGTTCAGCATTTGTCTTTCCATGGATCTTTCTGTCTTTGCTATTTTTTCCATATTTTCCTTTGTAAACGTCCATGTCTGAGAGCCATATGTGAGGACAGGGAGTATACATTGATTGAAGACTCTGGTTTTTAAGTATTGGGGGTATTTTGAATTCTTTAGAATATAAGACAGTTTTCCGAATGATGCCCAGGCCAATCTTATTCTTCTCTTTATTTCTTCGGTCTGATTTTCTTTATTTAATTTAGTGATTTGGCCTAGATATATATACTCTTTTACTTGTTCTATTTTTGTTTGTGCCACTGTAATCATAAGTTCTTCTGGTTGATTAGTCATGGTTTTTGTTTTACTATAATTCATTTTGAGTCCAATTTTTGTCGATTCTCTATCTAGTTCTTCCATCATTCTTTGTAATTCTTCACTTTTTTCTGTTATTAATACAATATCATCAGCATATCGTAAATGATTCAGATTTTGCCCGTTTATATTAATTCCCAAGTCATCCCAGTGTAGTCGTTTAAAAACATCTTCTAGCGCTTGGTTAAATAACTTGGGCGATATGGTATCTCCTTGTCTTACTCCTCGGTTTATTTTAATAGGCTCCGTTTGTTTCATTAGCTTAATAGTTGTTGTTGCCTTGTTGTATATATTTGTAATTAAGTCGGTATATCGGTAGTCTATTCTGCTGTTTTGTAGGGAATTCTGTACTGCCCAGTGTTCCACACTATCAAATGCCTTCTCAAAGTCAATAAATGCCATGTATAGCGGGATATGATATTCGTTAGTTTTTTCGATTAAAATCTTCATCGTTAAAAGGTGGTCACTTGTACTGAAGCTCTTTCTAAATCCGGCTTGTTCTCTTGCCTGGTATCCATCTAATTTAGTTGTTAATCTATTTGTTAATATTTTGGTTAATAGTTTGTACATCACATTTAATAAAGTTATGGGTCTGTAATTCTTTAGATCCTTTTTATCTCCTTTCTTAAATAGTAACAGTGTTATTGCTTCGTTCCAACTGTTGGGTATTTGTTTTGTCATTAAAATTTTATTCATAAGTATGTACAAAACTTCTCTAGTTGTTTTCCCACCATGTTTTAGCATTTCTACAGTCACCCCGTCTTTTCCTGGCGATTTATTGTTCTTCATCTCTTTGAGTGCTCTTCTTATCTCGTTCTTACTGATCTCTGGTTGTAAGTCGGAATTAACATTTTTTATTTTTATTTGTAGTTGCTTAAGGATTTCTTGGGTTGGTTTCTGTTTTGTATTGTAGAGGTTTTTATAATATTCTTGTGTTATCTGTATAATTTCTTCTACATTATTGGTCTCTGTACCTTCTTTGTTCTTTATACTATTAATTTGTATGGTTCCAAGCTGTGGTTTTAAGCACTTCATGTTTTTATTTTGTTCAATTGCTTTTTCTATTTTTTCTTCCTGTACTCTCCTTTTATAATCCTTGATATTCCTTCTGATAGCTTTGTTTACCTCTTTGTAATCTACTGTGTTTCTCTTATCTTGTTCCAGTAATGTTTTTCTTTTACTCATAAGATTTTTTGTTTCCTGGGATACATAGTTTTCCTTTTTTATTCTTGTTTGTGCTACCTCTTTTCCCGCCTTTGCTAATGTATCGGTTAATAGCTGATTTATTTCATCGATATTTTTGTTTTCCAAATCTCTAGTGACCGGTATACCTTCCTTTATTTTTTGTTTATATTCGTCTTTTGATTGCTTAAGTTTTTCCATATCTAGTTTCGATACATTTTCTATTTTCTTTTTTGTTTCGAATTGGCTATTAATCCTGAGTTTGGCTCTGACAAGTCTATGATCGCTACCGGTTGAGAAGCGGTTCAGTACTGTAACATCTTTGATGATGGTTTTTTCTGTTGTAAGGATGTAATCTATTTCGTTTTTTGTATTACCGTTAGGACTTATCCATGTCCATTTTCTTTGTGGTTTTTTGTTAAAAAACGAGTTCATAGCAAAAAGTTGTCTCTCCTCCAAGTAGTTCATTAATGTGTGTCCTCTATTATTTCTTTCGCCATATCCATACTTTCCAATTCTATGTTCTTCTCCATCTATTCTTCCCCCTAATTTGGCATTGAAGTCTCCAATTATTAGCGTCAATTTAGTTTTCTTTTCTTCCATAGCGAGTGTTAGTTCTTCGTAGAAGTTTTCAATATCTTCATCTGTATATGAACTTGTTGGCGCGTATACCTGTATAATTTTCAAAGACGTTCTTTTTAATTTAAGCATAATGTAGGCTACTCTGTCTGATATACCCTTGGTGGATTGTATGTATCTGACGACTTTCTTGTTTATTATAAAACCAACTCCGTTGTTAGAGTTATTATAATTAAGTATCCAAAAACAAAATGGGAAAATCGCCGTGAATGATAAATCTGGTACCATGAAGTGTAATATTGTGTCGGTTTATTGAAGTGCTGGATTAGTGAGATTTTACTGTATATATAAGTGAATAAGTATAAACTAGTAATTTACTTACTGTTGAATATACACAAGGGACGGTACAGGCATCCCTTAAGCTCCATTGTTTTGGTACTTCCCACGTAAAATATGGATCATTTTGAACTTGCAATGCTAACGCATCTCCCATAACAATACCCATTATTCGTTTACCTTTAAGCGTTATTCCAGCATATTCAATTCCAATACGCCAATCTAAGGTTGGGATGCTTTCGATTCCTTCTATCACAAGTTTACCAGTTGCCAACATTACGTCTTTAAAATTAAGAGCAGAATAATACACATAAACCAGTTCCGATTCATCAAATACTCTAAAAAAAATTACAATTTGCCAGATAAAAGCGTTATCATTAAATAAGGTACATTGAATAATATTGGTTCAAATCACTCTTTTGAAAATTGGCGCCATTCACATAAAAGGTATCCATCTATCTAAATATATCAATATAAATCTGGTATAACTCCTTGTTTTAGTCTTCGGCCATTTGATGGCGCCATATTACTCTTTATGGTGCCATATTATTACTCTAGTAAAAATCTTTATGGACCCACTAGTCAATAATTTACTAAATGATCATGGAGCTAGGAATCCAAAGTTCCGGCAGGGAAAGACAATCAGATTTAGACGATAGGGCGTCTCAGGTCGCCATAAGGGTAAATCCCTGACAAACAAATAAGAATACGTCTATAACCTTGAAAATTAGAAAATGAAGCGTAAGAAATATACCAATCTTTGATCAAATAAAAGGCAGATATCGAGCACAGTTTTATAAATTAAATCTCGCCCAAGTAATCTCGCTTCATAAAGCATCTTCAGGGGCATTTCATCAAATGTGGCCTATCCAACAAAAATAGAATGTTATAAATATAAAATTGTACATCACACTACACTATACAAGAAAAACCACTTTAAAATTTTAAAATAGGCGAAGTTACATGATGTTCAGAAACCGGAGAGAGAGAGATTATCTCCGTTTTCCGGCTTCTTGAACCGTATTATATTCAATATAAAATTATTCTTTCTTGGGTTTAGGTTCAATAAGGATATATTACATGTGGAACTAGATTTTATTTTCCATTGCAATCAATCAACGTTTCGGCAGGAAACCCTTGCCTTTGTCAAGATTCTAACATGTATATGTATAAGGACAAACAGATATTGTAAAATATGTATATATTGAGATAATAATAGATATAGAAGAAATGAGCATAGTAATATTATGATTTTAATTGATAAACTTAAATAGTGATTAAAGAAATAATTTATAAGTTATAGACTAGAGAATATTGTAAAAAAATATTTATATGAGGGTATTTTTAAGAAATTAGCAAATAATAAGTGTACAAAGTTTTATTTTAATAATTATAATATTATAGATATATTTAAGTGAGCCATGTGCATAAGTAACCAAATATACACTGTATTATAATGACAGAAGATTAAATTTGAACTTAACAAGTGACATTTGAATGAGAATTCTCTAGAAAACGTCAATATAAGACAGTTAACCCTATTTGCATAGTAGAAGATTCGAGAAACTTCGGATATTGATCTCTTCATCTCGAGTTTCGAACATGGTTTATTGCTAGAATATTCGGGAACGATCAAAAGATATAAATACGATGTAATTTGGAGCATTCATTCATTCATTCATTAGACAGTTAGTATAACAGTATGAGAGTTGGGATTACACAGTAAGACAGTGCATTGATTAGACAGTTCAAGATAGTTAACAGTTACAGTAAGACAATATGGAGTTAGTTAATTAAGAAGTTAAACAGGAGACAGTTCGACAGTTAGTGAATGAATTTATTAATACAGTGTTTTATAGTATTTTTGAAAGTATATTTGAAAGTATATTAAAATTATAATATCTATATGGTAATTAGAGATTATTAAGAAGAAAAAATAAGATTATAAGTAAGAAGCAAAGAAGAAACAATCAATAAAGGAGAATATTTTACCCATTTATAAATGCTATTAAGAAGAAAAATATTTTAAATTGGTAGAAGCTGATAATTAAAACATTCTGGTATATTTGGAAAAAGCAATTTCACAAAAACAAGGATAACTGAGGCTAATAAAGAAGATATTGACTGGTGATTATACCCTTTATTTTGGGATAACAGTTTCCTTTAGGCATTCAGTGATAGAAAGGTACCAAATTTTATTCTCCCTCTCCCTCTATATTTCAGTCTGATTTAAAAAATAATAATATAACATCATAAAAAGCCCTTAAAGTCATAACATATCCATACCTTATCCTTTTTCGAAAACACCAATGATACGCCCATATAAAAATAATTATATACTAATGGCAGTAAACAATGAGATATCAGATATCAACTTTTATTTGTCAGTTCGTTAATGTCTGTGTCACGTTTTACGTTTTGGTAAGTCCTATATATATATATATATATATATATATATTATATATAATATATATATATATATATATATATATATATATATATATACATATACCGGGTGGTCAATCGTCAAACGGACCATAGGAAACTCAATGAGAAATTTTAAATTGTTGAATTGCTGCTTCCCTAATTATTTTAGATCAAAAGTCATAAAAAACTATTTGTAGAGGACTAAAATCTGAATTAAAAACAAATGTTAAAACCGTTCTACGACTCAAATGTACTTAAAAATTTTGCAAAAATATAATACATTTTTCAGGCCACCCCTAAAAGTTAGGCCACACGTAATGCAAGAATATATATTAGGACGTTTGTGTTTTATCATATTTATGTCAGATGTTTGACAATTTGAATTGTCAATTTTTTTATTTTATGATTAAATTATAAACAATGAATTTTACTAAATACTACTACTAATGAACATTATTACTTTGTGAACAATAAATTATATTGTTTACAAATCGATCAATATAATGAAATGTACTCAGTTGACGAAAAATCGCATAATGTTGTATTCAGGCAATAGCGCGAACCTTTTCCTGCCACTACCGGATCTTTATTTAACGTAAGATATTCTAATTCACTAAAATTTAATTCCATGTTAGTAAGTTATACAACAATTCAATGAATTCCAATATACTGTTACTGTGATCTTTATTCCTAATAATAATATATGATAATTTCTAAACATAAAACTATAACAAATGTTATAATAAAACATGAATAAAACATTTTTATTATTGCTTTTTTCTTCTCAACTGAGTACATTTTTTAATCAACTTAATTTTTTTTAACAATAAATCACAAAATTTTGGCCATTTAAATCATAGATAAATGTAATATAATTGATTTAAATATTGTCAAATATCAGAAACAATAATATGACAAAACGCAACACGTAATACACATTTTTTCACAGAAAAATGTATTATATTTTAGCAAAATTTTGGAATACGTTTAAGTCGTAGAATAATTTTAACAGTTGTTTTCGATACATATTTGAGTCCTCTACAAATAGTTTCCCATGACTTTTGGTGTAAAATAATTAGGGAAGCAGGAATTCAACAATTTAGAATTTCCCATTGAGTTTCCTATGGCCCGTTTGACGATTCACCACCCTGTATATATATATATATATATATATATATATATATATATATATATGTCATGGGAAATTATCTGTAAAGGACTCAAATATTTCTACGACTTAAACGTATTCCAAAATTTTGCTAAAATATAATACATTTTTCAGGCCACCCCTAAAAGTCAGGCCAGACGCCGTGAAAAGAATGTGTATTACGTGTTGCGTTTTGTCATATTGACGTTTCTAATATTTGACAATATTTAAATCAACTATATTATATTTATCTATGATTTAAATGGCCAAAATTTTGTGATTTATTATTTAAAAGAAAAATTAAGTTGATTAAAAAATGTACTCAGTTAAGGAGAAAAGAGCAATAATAAAAATGTTTTATTATAACATTTGTTATAGTTTTATGTTTAGAAATTATCGTATATTATTATTAGGAATAAAGATCACAGTAACAGTATATTGGAATTCATTGAATTGTTGTATAACTTAACTTAACATGGAATTAAATTTTAGTGTATTAGAATATCTTACGTTAAATAAAGATCCGGTAGTGACAGGAAAAGGTTCGCGCTATTGCCTGAATACAACATTATGCGATTTTTCGTCAACTGAGTACATTTCATTATATTGATCGATTTGTAAACAATATAATTTATTGTTCACAAAGTAATATTGTTCAGTAGTAGTAGTATTTAGTAAAATTCATTGTTTATAATTTAATCATAAAATAAAAAAAATTGACAATTCAAATTGTCAAACATCTGACATCAATATGATAAAACACACACGTTATAATATATTCTTGTATTACGTGTGGCCTAACTTTTAGGGGTGGTCTGAAAAATCTATTATATTTTTGCAAAATTTTGAAGTACATTTGATTCGTAGAACGGTTTTAACATTTGTTTTTAATTTAGAATTTAGTCCTCTACAAATAGTTATTTATGACTTTTGATCTAAAATAATTTGGGAAGAAGTAATTTAACAATTTAAAATTTCGTAAAATTTTAAAAAATCCTAAAAGAAACGGATGGTAAAAAAAGAAAAATCAAAGAAGCGGCTCTAATTATGCTAAATGAGGCCAATTGTGTCGCAAATTCCTCGGCAGAATGTAGTAGGATCTGGTTACCAATATTGAAAGAGGAAGTTATTAATAAGAAAATACCAGTATTAGTAAGTCAGTAACATATAGAGGATACATCATTTATGTTTTTTAAATAACGTAACATATAAAATCAGAATTTTGATGTTTGTTGAAGGTAAACTAAATTCACGAACAAATACTTACAATGTCGGGATAGTATTATGAGGTTTTTTTCCTGGTTTTTCCCTCATAATTTACTATGGAATCACTAACAGGAGAATTTTACTGTCATCATGTCATGTGTTTGTCTTTTTAAAGACGAATTACATGCTATGATTTTTTTCTGACGGATATTCTCAAGTTAAAGTTGATTTCATGTAATCGAATGAACTATCTTATAAGTAAAGTCGTCCCAGGAGCGCAACTCAACAATATTGGCAATATCATTTTAAAGTCGTCTACTTTAAAATGCATAATGTATGTCTGAATTGTCAATATAAATGAGTCAGATAAAATTAAATTATTAGAAGAATTTTTCACTATGTAACAAAAAACAAAATTTGTTTAATTTACTGTTTGTATTTTGAGAACGATTTCCGAAGTGGAAATTGAAACGTCAATAAACGTATTATTTATCTTTAATTGTGGCTTATTCCCAGTTAAATAGTAATTAATTTACAATGCCACAAGAAAATAGCTTCAGAACAATATTAAAATTTCCCATTGAGTTTCCTATGGCCCGTTTGACGATTCACCACCCGGTATATATATATATATATATAATATATATATATATATATAATATATATATATATATATATATATATATATATATATATATATATATTATATATATATATATATTATATATATATATATATACGTATATATATATATATATATATATATATATATATATATAGTATATATATATATATATATATATATATATATATATATATTACAATATCTGTTTGTCCTTATACATGCCGAAAACGTTGATTGATTGCTATGGAAAATAAAATCTAGTTCCACATGGAATATATCCTTATTGAACCTAAACCCAAGAAAAATTAATTTTATATTATATATTATATTATATATTATATTATTAATGATGATTACCTTATCCCTTCAAATTGTTTTTCACTCCAATCCAACGTAGACAAATCTCCAAGATTATTTAGATTAACAGCAGCATTTCCAACATTTTTTTTTCTTAATTCTTTTAAAGGTACGTGCACATAAGTACCCCAGTTATTGTTTCTAAGAATGTTAAAAGTCAGATTATTTTTGATCTGATTTTTATAAAAAGGATCATCGACAGAAAACTTCATTGCCTTTTGGTCAATTAACACAGAACAAAATTTCAGTTTAGTAGTTTCAGTTAATAAGCATTTGGTTAAACCTACTAGTCCACTAGCATCTTCATTTTCGCTGACCAAGTATACGATTTTTGCCTCGTTGGATTCATCTAAAATCTTTAAATTTTCCAACCAACAAAAGTTACTGTTACTTATGTTTAATACAGTATAATCCTTGGGTAGATCAGATGTAGGTTTTAATAGAAAAACACTATGTTTATCACAAAGTGATTCAAAAATGATTTCCAAAGATCTATTTCTATGTGCTTCAAATATACCTTCAAAAAGAATAAAACCGTTTTCTGTCAAATTCTTTACTATTGTGTTCAAATTTTCGGGCGATACTTCTTTTTCGTTAACGATAATTGCGTGATGTTTATTTATTAAATTTTCTAATGGACACGTAGAATATGTAATTTCACTGTGTATCTGTTTGGCTATAATATTGTGAATAATATGATCACTTTTTACATCATCCGTATTTGATATTATCTCACATATACGTATCTGCTTAACGCGACCTGGATTATTTTGCAAGATTATTTGCATTGCTACTGCCATTGTTGTTTCTAAATCAAAATCACTTCTATTAACTCCACTATAATTAACGAAATTGTAAGTTTCATAATAAGGGAGCTCTTGTGACCTTTGACGATATGAAGCTTTAGAATGTGCCGATCCAATAATTTCTACACCTCCACATTTTATTAACTTAAGAGCAGCATTAAAGAAGACAGGTAGATCTAAAAACATAGTTTAACATAAATATATTTATAAATTTACACATATATAATACATGCGTATATATTTATTTATATATATATATATATATATATATATATATATATTTATATATATATTTATATATATATATATATATATATAAATATATATATTTATATATATATATATATATATATATTTATATATATATATATATATATATATATATATATATATATATATTTATATATATATATTTAATATATATATATTTATATATATATATATATATATATATAATATATATATATAACAATTTATTGTGTTGGAGTATCGGGTATGCGGTCTGTTATTTAAAAAAAAACTCTTTTTTCTTTTAATGCTCTATATTTCGCTGACTTTTTGTCAGTTTTATCAGGAGAATAAAGAGTTAAAAACTATTAAAAGTTGTTGTACATAATATGTTCAAAACAGCACTGCTCCAGTGCTGTTTTGAACAAACAAATACCAGACCGCATACCCGATACTCCAACACAATAAATTGTTATTTACGTTTCGGTCGATAATCTTACCAGTTTTGCTATATATAATATATATATATATATATATATATATATATATATATATATATATATATATATATATATATAATATATATAGATATATATATATATATAATATATAATATATATATATATATATATATATATATATTGTTATGATGTGTTGTTTCTGTATGAGCTATGAGTAAATTTGAATGATATATGTAAGTATAGGGTTTTTATCGCGGTTCTCAAAGAATTAGTTTGTAAGTACTTTTTTAAATTATCTTTATTATAACTATTATGAAACAAACATATCTATCTAATATAAGCAATATCAATTTAAAACAATCTATCTAAAATTTGAAATTCTTACAATTATTAAATTATTAACAAAATTTGGTACCTTTCTACCACTAAACGCCTAAAGTCTTCCACAATCAAAGTTATTATCAACACTCGATATCTTCTTACTCAGCCTTGGTTATCCAACAATTTTAATACGTTTCTTCTTATGTATCTCCACTCACCATATAAATATATAAATTTAAATTCTTGTAATTTCCATATAATGTACTTTCAAATATACTGGATCTTGTGGTTGTATTATTGAATACTTACTTCAATGAATTAACTTCATACTGTCACTATATTAGTGTAGTAATAATTAATCTCCAACTGTATTTGACTTAATTAATTCATTTAACTTAATCAATGCCTTCTATACAATACAGGAGTCATCGAACAACATTCGATGACTCCTGTATTGTGAAAGGATCTTTTGTTTTTGTGTAAAGCTTCGATACTGTTTTCACATTTTTGGTTGTAATTTTTAAGCCACTAACATTTTTAAAGATGTTCATTAGCTTAGGTGTCAAAAATGGAATATAGGGTAGGCAACCATAAGTTCCTACCCTATATTCCATTTTTGACACCTAAGCTAATGAACATCTTTAAAAATGTTAGTGGCTTAAAAATTACAACCAAAAATGTGAAAACAGTATCGAAGCTTTACACAAAAACAAAAGATCCTTTCACAATACAGGAGTCATCGAATGTTGTTTATTCTATACCGTGTAGTAACTGTAATAAAATTTACATAGGAGAATCATCTCGTAATTTTCACAACAGGGTGATATCACATCGCAGTGATATAAAAACCAAAAAAATCAATGCATGTGCATTGACAGAACATGCACTAACTCTAAAACATGAGTTCAATTTCGATGATTCCTGTATTTTGGCAAAAGAAAAGAACCATTTAAAAGGTGTTTTTTTGGAAATGTGTTTCATAAAATCTAGCACATCTTGCATCAATAAAAAGTCCGATATAGACAAATTAAGTAACATTTATTGTTATTTACTAGAAAAACATCAAAAATAAAATAAATATTTACCTGTACAAAAATTACACCTCTGTATAATATGTTGCATACCATTAAGACAGGTTAAAATAGGATAGACACCTAAGGAGAGGCTCTAATATAGTATTTCTTGTAAAGAAAGATAACATCAATTTACACCTAATTACATATTAATTACACTGTTTTTTCTTTCCATTCTCTGTATGAGTTAATATACACCAGTAAAACATGCCATCAATCAAGTTTTACTATTTTTACAACAAATTTTAAAAATTTTATGATGTATATGTCCATAATTGTATATTTTAATGTGTGGTATAAATGTTGAGTGTTCAATGCTTACAAAAATAATCTCAACGACTAGTAAGTTACACTGAAGAATTGTGATATTTTTTAAATATTTACATAATTGTCTTTTACAGTGTCTTGAAAAAGGAATAAAATCATTCCGAAAGCTCGACAAAAAGTCAAAAGAGTGTTTTTTATTTAACATCCCGGCCAATATTCTGACTGCAACCCTAATAAACTGTGTTGTTTGTATATATATATATATATATATATATATATATATATATATATATATATATTCTCTGTCCCACTATATATCCCACTTTCCGAATCTGTTTTTATTTTTAACATAAAGTGTAACACAAAGCAGCTATTTGGTATAAACTTTTTAAAAAATCTCAAAGTTCTGCTAAATGTAACTCTCTCTCTCTCTCGGTCAGAACAGGCTGTCCTTGTCGATAGCTTCTGGATTCTCGCCGACAGGTAGGTAAGAAATATACACCCTAGGTCATAAATAATGTTGAATAACATTATTAGGACTTATTAAAGAGTAATACCCAAATATTTTGCAGTATTTGAATATGGAATTTGATTATTTAATTTATTGGACAATACCCAAATATTTTGCAGTATTTAAATATGGAATTTAATTGTTTATATTTATTGGAATATTTATATTGAACGTTTTTGTTAGTAAAGTTTACATAATATATGAAGTTTGCTTCGTCACTTACGAAGCAAGCAAGCAACTTTTTTAGTTATTGTAGACCTATAAGGAGAAAACCTACCTGTTTCCTGGTATTCAACTGGTTATCAACTTTTTCCAGTTATCCATAAAATAATAGTACTTATATGGCAGAATAAATTGGTACCAGAATAGTGGGTAAATGAAATAATATGCATTGCATAAAAAGGGCAATTAACTAGATTGTAAGAACTATAGAGGCATTAGTCTGTTTGCATCTGCGTATAAAATCTTCTGCAATGTATTGTTTGAAAGACTTAAACATTTTACAGAGGATATTGTTGGTCAATATCAATGTGGATTTACTGCTGCAAAACAAAACCAACTTTTAATAAATTTCCATTTATTAAAAAATATGTTGATGGTATAATTTTGGCTATACCCAATGACAAGGTAGATGAACTATTAGATACTTTTAATAGTTATGACCCCTACATCCAGTTCACTATAGAGAGGAAAGATGGTAATTGTTCCGTCCCCTTTCTCGACATAAGGATGATTAGGGAAAACAACAACATTAAAATAGATTGGTATCAAAAACCGACCCATTCTGGTAGATACCTTAACTACCACTCTTACCATAATAATTCTACCAAAGTCAACTTAATCAAACAGATGAAAAATAGAGTAATAAAACTATCAGATCCTTCATTTCATACAAAAAACCTACAAATCCTACAGAAACTTTTTATTTCAAACTCTTATCCAACACCATTAGTAAATAAGATTTTGTTTAACACTATCCATAACGAAGATACTTCACCTTCCATCGTGACTAACAATGCTGATCCTGATGTCTTAAGTGGGAACCCAGTCTAGGATACTCCTATCAAATAAATATTTTCATCCGGGGTTAACAAGGATTCTAAAAAGTGTTGAAAATAGCTTTGGGAATAATAATAACAACATTAAACTTAATGTGGCTTGTAGATCAGCCCTAACAATTAATAATCTTTATTCGAAGATAAAAGATAAGACTCCATAGATAGGCTTAGTAACATTGTCTACAACATTCCATGCCTCTCTTGCAGCAATTCCTACATCGGCCAAACATCTCAATTATTGAAATCACGTATTACACTACACAAAAGTGATTCTCGACTTCACCCTGACCGCTGTGCATTAGCCAAACATGTCCATTCCACTGGTCATCTCATGGACTATACAAACACTACAATTCTCCACCGTGAGAACAATAAATCTAAAAGAGAGTTCATTGAAATGTCTTATATTTTCCTTAACGATTTTTCCATCAATGTTAAGAGTGACATTAAGAATCTAAGCGATATATACCACTTCTTACTTAAATCAGATACCAAGAACAATACAACATCACAGATAACTAACTTGACTGATATATCTATTAACAACTAACCTACTTTAATAATAATTTTCATTAACTAAAAAAGATAACATTCCCTTGCTTTTCTTAGATACATCTCAATAAGATATTATTATAATAATACATGAACAATATACTAATTAAAAAAGAATTTCAATTAAGAAAATTCTAAAATAATATCTCCCCAAACTGGGATCTAACTTCATCGGTTTTACCAATGAACCTTAACGACATAAATATTCAAAAGACTACTTGTAATTGTCAGCGCTTGCGTTCTGAGAAAACAGAACCTCACATTCAAACTTTATAACAATCAAAAATTTAGTTATTGCCGACAATTCAAAGAATTACTTCCTTTAAATGTAGTTACATTGGGTTTTTCGATTAACCTTGGGTAAACCTTTGCGTTTTAAGTTCAAAGCTACCATACATTTCCAACGTTAAAAAAAACTTTTTTGCACATAGTAACAAAAAACACCACTATGTTGTTACTAGCTAAGTTTTTTAACATCCTAACTCGACATTTCTAAAATTTACGGTAAGATAAATGTTTTTTATTAGATAATATATGGTAGCTAATTATAATTTATTCTCTTTCAGCCCTGAAGAAGCCAAATTAATTCTCTTTGGCGAAAACGTTCGGCGAAACAATTGATACACATTAGAGTTTTTCTTGCAGATTTCCCCAATATTTAAGAGTTTACTATTTAACTTATCTGCAAAGATTAAATTTCTTTTCTTTTCTATAATATATATATATATATATATATATATATATATATATATATATATATATATATATATATATATATACATGTAACTGTACCTATGTAATACAAAAATATATAGAATATTAATCCCATTGATACCTTATCACATAGTATATGATTATAAATGAAACACCTTCGTAACTCAAAAAAATATAAATTACAGATGCACCTTTTCGCTTAGTGCAGATATATACCCCTAGGCATATATTATAGATAAATGCAAATTTAATGGTGAATAAAAAATATGAGAATTTTATTACTCGAAGTAAAACATAACCAAAGTAAATTATTACCTTGATTGTATTTGTTGATCATTTTTAGGTGCTTTATCGGATCTATAGTCATTTGCTGTATACTAGTTGGATGAAGTAATTCTCTAGAATATGTATTCATCAACTCTATTTGTAACATTGTATCAAAAAAACTACAAAAGTTTCCTTTCCATTGCACTTTGCCTCTTCTACCATATAAGTCACATTGACTAATTCCTTTAAAATAATTTTTATAATTATATCTTCTTAACTGATACTCTTTATACAATTCTTCACATTTTAAAATTACTTGTTTCTCCTGTGGTAGTTCTGGGCATTCTTTCTCTATAAATTCTGATGATATATCTTTGGGTATTCGTATATATCCTGAACACACAACGGATCCACCCTCAAATATTTCAAAATATCCCGATTGTTTTAAAACGTTTATAAGAAATGTTACTCCATCGTCAGCTGTTAGTACAGTTGCTCGTTTAAATTTAATATTTTCCATTATAATCGGTAATTCACATTTGGGTTTTAGATGAAACTCAGCAACAACACTCCAGACTAAATCCTATAAAGTTATAATTAAAATTATAATTAATTTTGATCATCAGAACATTAAATAATTAGAAAATAAAACATGGAATACGAATAATAGTAGCTATGCTAGAAAGAAATAAGTTAGGACTTATCCTTATCCTTAGGATCATATCCCCTATTAAACTGTTTACGTCAGTTTCTAGTACATTTTAAGGAGTATTTTAGAGGATATATAGCAAACTCAGCATCAAACAAATGAAACAAAGCAGTTGGTAGGAAGAACAAAAAATGAACACTGGGAACAGTTTACAAAAAGGATGGAAAGCGACTTCTTCGGTACACAAAAACAAATATGGAGATTTATATGAAACCAACAAAAAGAAATGGCAGAAATGAAGGAATTAGCGAATGGGAATGATACATTACAGAACGGTTTAAAGCAAAGGAAAATAATAACCAACACGAAATAGAAATCAGTTTTCAGGAAGTAGAAATAGCCATAATCCACTTAAAAATAAAAAGTCACCAGGACCATATGGAATAACCAACGAGCTCTTAAAACACGAAGGAGAAGATGACAAAACTTATACAAAAACTAATATTTCACTGCAAGATACTAGACGTATGGAGAAACAGCATAACAATACCAATGTTCAAGAAAGGAGATAAAAAAGACCCCAACAATTATAGAGGTATAAATCTACTAAACACCGCACTTAAGCTTACCACAAAAGTCCTAACCAACAAAATCAATAAACTAACAACTTTATCAAATGAACAACAAGGATTCAGATCCGGAAGATCCTGCGTAGACGCCGTATTGTACTAAGACAAATCACAGAAAAGGCCATCGAGTACAATAAACCAGCATATCTATATTTTATAGACCTGACAAAGGCTTTCGATCGCATCCAAGTCGAAGACGTCTTACACTTACTGTATAAAAGAAACATACCAATCAATATTATACAAACCATCGAAAACATCTACTTCCATAATCGAATACAGGCAAAGATAAATGGAAAACTAACACAGTGTATACCAGTACAAAGCGGAGTCAGACAGGGTGACTCGTTAAGCCCACTTCTCTTTAATATAATAATGGACGAAATAATACAAGCAGTACGTAAAGGTCATGGCTACAGAATGAGGAACAAAGAAATCCAAATATTATATTATGCAGACGACGCCGCATTAATCGCCGAGACAGAAGACGAGTTCCAAAGATTAACACATATCTTCAATATAACATCCAAGAAATACAATATGATAATATCAGCAGAAAAAAACAAATGTATGACAACATCTAAATACCCACTACACGGCGAAGACAAGACCTGACACATCTAAAACGAGGCGAATTCTAGAAACAACAGAGATGAAAATACTCCGACGAATATCAGGGAAAAGTCTGTTGGATAGTGAGAGAAGCGTAAACATAAGAAGAGCATGCAATATAGAAGACATAAATGGATGGGTGACAAAACGAAAACAGGAGTGGAACGAACACATTAGTAGAATGGCAGAGGAAATAATAGTACGAATAGCACGAGATAAGTCACCAAATGGACGAAGAAGTATTGGCAGGCCAAGAAAAAGATTGTGGGGCAATTTAAAAAATTTAGGAGGCTAATATTGAAGAAGAAACAGGCTTTAAAGCCTACATATAAAAAGGAAGAAGAAGAAAACGATCCACAAAATAACTTAAACAAGTAGAACATACGGACTGGAAAAAGGGCTCCAAGATAAAGAAGAATATCCTGGCTTGCTAACCTAAAGCATGGTATAGAAAGACTTGAACACAGCTATTCCGTAAGAAGAAGAATATGAAAATCCGCATCCCCGATTAGATTTAAACTTACGACCCTCAAATCTTTAAAACCAAGAATTTTAAATACGTACTCATTATATGCTACAACAAACAATGATATCATATTTAGCTAAATATGCAAAATGGGCCATAATCTGTCATAAAACTTACCAAATATCCAGTTGCCGGCATTAATATTCTTCCATCAATCTCATGGCCCTCTAGGTAAGCATATTGCTCATCTGATAGACTAACCGTTAACGATTTACCAAAATAATCTTTATGTTTATATATTCCCGAAAACCATGTTACACTATGGTCCCATTTTACGAGAGGTGATATCATTTTGGTTCCACGACTAACAGGAAATGTAACGTCGTTATATAAGTTCCTCAAATTTGGTTGCCCTCCAGCAAGATAAAGTCTGAAAAAAATGTAGTTTATTGCACAAATAAAAATATCTGATGTAACAATAAAACACTAAAAACTTTGTTTTCAAACTTTCACAAAATTATTTTAACTTATCACTACAGCTGTTTCGGCTGATTGCCTTTCTCAAGTGATCTAGTTTTGGCATGCGTTTATATTTTATAATTTCTAATGAAATAGGTTGAGGAGGACAGAACTGTTTGTCTCAAGTTGGTCATTCAGAATTATATCTGTGTTTTTTAATTTGTTGATTTCCATAGATTCCAACAAGGATAGCTTAAGGCCTTTATTTTGAATGTGAAGAATTTTAAATTCGTCATTAAAAGAATGATTGTGATCTAGAAGGTGAAGTGCGTATCTAGAATCTGTTTTTCTATTATTGAAAGCCCTTTTATATTCTGCTATTTGTTTATTGAAGTTTCTATCAGTTTGACCGATGTAAGTTTTTGGGCAGTCGCCACATTTAAATTTGTACACACCACTGTGTAAGTGTTTTTTATTTTGGCTCTTGTTGTTTTTGATATATTTGCCTAGGTTGTTATTTGTTCGAAAAGTTGGTGTTATTCCTTTCTTTTTTATGTGTTTGGCTATTTTAGTTGATATTTTGCCTGTATATGTAATCGAGCAGCAGGTACCGGGTTTTTTCTCTGGTGGTGGAAATACTAATTTAAGGGCTTTCTTGTGTAGTTTTTTATTTAATATTTTATTAATTGTTTGTTCGTTGTATCCGTTGTTTACTGCTATTTGCTTGATGATATTTAATTCTGTCTTAAAGTTGTTGACAACTTTGAGACACAAATATGAGACACAATAAACAAATATTTTTGATTATAATTTTTGCATTTTTTGCTATTAAACGTATAAGAAGAACGAATTCACAAAGAAAAGATAATAGTCCCAAGGAGAGTGTTCACATCAAAGACGATCCTAAAGGAAACCTACAACAAGCCCAACCTAGGTCATGTTTCACTTCCATGAAAAATGCCAAAAACTAAGAATGAAGGATTTGTGATCCAATGCATCAGCACCTGAACTATGATCGACCTGAATCCAAAAGTGCAACTTTTAACTGCAACTGATTTTAACATTGTAGTTGTTAAGAAGGTAATAAAGTTCACTCTAGCTAAAATCGTCGCTGAAGGGTAGATACTATTAGTCACGTCCAAAATCAAAAGGATAATGGTGCACAAGTGTGAAGTTGCTGAGGAAGTAGTAAGAGAAAAAGGCCAACCAAGATATGATGAGAGACGGTTAGACAAGCATATATCTGCAATAAGCAATTATCCTAAATACAGGATAGAACCTATCGAAAAATATAATTCGGTAAGCCGATACAGAATAGGTATACAAGCAAAGAGATTGATAATAATGCTGATAAAGCTTTTACAGTTGGGCATGAGCTAAAAGAAAAGTTCTCATTAGCGTAAAATGTAAAGTTAATTGCCAACAGAGTTTATTTTTAATTTAATTCAAATTAAGTGATCCAAATACTATCTAAATATACTTACTTTCCTATAGCTGAGAGGAAAAACTTTTCATTATCATCGCTCGATCGATTGGTAATACTAATTTGTGTAGTTTCATTTCCCATCTCTCTCTTCAAAATTGTTTGCAATAAACCGTGAGGAGCTACTTCTAGAACAATTGCATCCTCTGGTATGTGATGATAGACTTGATCAAACAGTACAGGATTGCAGTAGTTATTGTAATGATATTCAGCGCAATTGTATTGTGCCCATTCTTCGTGTTCCTTATTTAATGGAACGGAACTTGATATCCACTTTTTACTACGAGGTTTAGGATCCGGTATAACGTTTTTACAAAATTCTAGAAGAAACTTCCCAGCTTCTGCTAAATATTTAGTGTGGAAAGGTATTTCCGCTGATTTGAGCAATCTTGTAAAAATTCCTTGTGCTGATAATTTTTCTACGAAAGCTTTGGTTGTTTCAAGAGTACCGGATATGGTGACATTATCCCTGGCATTTTGACAAGCAATAAAAACTCCTTCTGGAAGCATTTTGGTTATCTCTTCTTTAGATAATCCTATAACTGCCATTTGTCCTGGAATTGTTTTACAAGTTGTTGAAGCGTATCCTCTAGAGTACACTAATAAAGCTGCCTGTTCACAAGAAATATGTCCATCTGCATAAGCGCAACCTGAAAATATATAAAAATAAAACGTACAGTTTCATTGTATAATAATGAAATAATTACTGTAAAAACTGTTTTGATAACAAGCCATACCAATTGGAACTTTTTTGTTATTTTATTTAAAAAGTTCCTTTATAAAAGGAATAATCATAAAAACCCTACCGAGCTCCATCACAGAATGTTTTCGGAATAACCATTCCATCATAAGTGCTATCTGGATGTACGTATTTAAAGCCACCAAATATATGGGTAAAAACCCTTTAAATGTAGTTTGATTACCTTTAAGTTACATCTTTGATAATTAAAAACTATGCTGTTTAAATTACAAAAGGAATTAGGATTTTATTTGGAATAGTTTTTTCGTTACAAAAAAAACTTATGAGAAGTGAATTGGAATAGGTTTTATTGTGTAGTTTTCGATTGATGAACAAAAAAGGCTTGTTGTAAGTTTTCTTTTGTTAATCAGTTTTGAGTTATAAATAACTTAAAACTGAAAAAACGCAAAATGACGATTTTCTTGGCTCAGAAATACAAGTAAAACAATATTACTTTTGAAGTCATCAAGTGCCTAAATTCAAGTTCAAGACTTCTTCTATCAGCCACCGATGAAAATTCTGGGCTTTTTTTTTATTTTATGCAATGTTTTTTAATTATTAACCGCTTAACGCACAAATTTACCTACAAAAAGACATCATAAAATAATTAGCTATTTATTTTATTATAGTAACATAAACTACCAACAGGGCTATTGTCCTTAGATATAATCTAAAGTAAAAAAATGCATACACAGTAAAACTTCTCCATAACGGACACCAATGAGGGGAAGTAATTGTCCGTTGTGTAGTTATCGCTAAATAAATTAAAATAATAAAAATGTTTCGATTTGTTTGATCTTTAATTAAACACTTTCATACATATTTGCTTAAGCATATCGTCGGTGACCTGGCAATATCTACTATGTGACTTTAACTAAACTTTTCAGGAGAGACAAAAAACTTTATAATTATAAAATTTTAATATATTTCAATTGTTTGTTTGTGTTTTATGATCTGTCGGAAAGCGACATTTTTACTTGTTATGAAAAAAGTTGATATTTAATTGAATTTAGTTTTTTTAAGCTAGATAGGAGGTTTATTAAAATTATGCATAAATGTCCTTTTAATCAAATAAAATTAAATAATTCTTTGAAATTAAACAATAATTAAATTAAACAGTTTTAGATCGTATTTGAATCATTTTATATCAGTAGTGGTTGGGTCATACGCTTTTCTTTCTGGTCAGATTCAGGAATATCGCATGTGAATGGAGGATGAATAGTCTTCAAAAAGCGTATGGTGTAATATTTTGACTCTATATGGCTTAGTTCCCTTCCTTGCTTGAGCTGTAATGGAAGCATAGTCACTGGGTAAATGGATTTACCTATGTTTAAGACTTCTTTCTATCATACTATATACCGAGTCACATCCCATTTGAGAGTGAATCGGTTCAAGATAATTATGAAACACATTATTATTTGATAGCAAAGATTAGTAAAGCGTTGGCCAGTACATTATTACGATTTTGATAACCGCATCCATCAGAATAAATAACTACTGGCGTTTTGGAATCGGTAACACAGTTCTCTTCTAAATAATATATGATACAGGAAACAAATGTGGATGCTTCGAGCTAGTTATTTTCATTTTCTGACAACCAATAGCACATAACATCGTGAGTTTTTAGGTTGTAAACTGTGAAGTTGTGGCAGGACAATTTGGTTTTATAGTACATTTTGTTCTCTGGTACATATGGGCACAATTTTACGGCTTGTAGGTTTTTGTCCAAATTGTTAGCTTCTTTGGCGCATTTCTTTCTCTTTATAAGTATGAGCTCTATATTTTTCTTTTGTCGTATTCTTATATTTAAATACAAAACAAATATTGCATTAGTCTTTTTTCAGTGTATATAAAGCGAAATTATTTCCTTAAATCATTTTGAGAATACGTTGCGACCTAAAGGAGTTATATTCTTTTCTTGACAAAAACTGTTTACATAAACACCATACAAATCTATCATACTGTTAAAAAAATATTCTTAATACAATTTTTGTATTTCGCTGCGACAATAGTGTGAAGGAAGTTTAGGAAAACTCTCAACAAATTGTTCCAAGTATTTATAACTTTCTGTATACCTAGTTTTTACATTTTCTTGGTAGAAACATGTGATGCTCGTCAGTCATACCGCAAGAACTATTATCCACTTAATAGTAAATTGTTTTATAACCTATATCTAATGTATTTGTGAACATGCTAAGACATACTTGTAAGTTCTCATTCCCTTTATGTAAGTAGTAAGTGTGTGTACTTTGTCTTCTTGAATTTTCCTTGTTTGATTTAAATGTTGGAGTTTCATATGTCAAATGTCGTGGAGAATACATGAGATGCTACAACAACCTTATGTTAATTCCAAGTCATACCTAAAATTTCTTAAATATATGACTTCTGCACTGTTCTGTAAATTCCTTGCAATATCTTAATTTGGAATTTCCTCATTTTACTGACGTGCAGTACACGCCATTTTTTACTAAATCCCATGCATACTTTACCTTTCATTCGAATTTTTTTGTTTCTGTATTTTCTCCATTGATTTTTATTCTCACCAAGCTTTCTTTTTCTCTTCGTGGTAACTTCATTATCACTGGTTGTGTTCATCAGATTTATTTCAATATTATTACTTATACTAGTATTAGAACTTTATTGAATATTATTCTTATTTCTAATTGCATTAGTCTCATTTTCGTTACTAGAACATTCATATGGCACAAGATATATCACACTTTTATTTTGTTCAATTGGCAATAGTATTTGTTTATTTGTTAAATTATCTAACACTAGGTTTACAGAATTATTGGTATCAAAACTGCTTTTATTAAAAAATGTATTTTTTTAGATACACAATCGGTTGATATAATACAATTATTATTATCCGCTAAACACTCTACTTCGTTAAAGTCTTTTAAGCAATCTGTTAAGTCAAAGTCTTCCAGCTCCATACAATTTTGCATTGCTGTAAGCCAGGGGTGGCCAAACCACGGCACGCGTACCACGGTGTGGTACGGCGGTGTCTTAGAAGTGGCACGCGAGGAGTTTTTGGAAAAATGAAAAAAAAATAAAAAAATTAACTTAGTAAAAAATTAAAAATTCGTCTTTTATTCTACGCCACTCTTTTATTGTACGCCACTGCCTCGCGCTAGACACGTTCACGTTATTCATCGTTTTGTCGATTGTCGATGCCCGGTTGACTCAGTTCTCAGTTGATTCTCAACTTTTGTGCGAGACGCTTCAATCTGTTTGCCTTGTGAGATAGTGTTTTTACAGTTTATTTCCTTTTAAAACAATTGTTTTCGAAATGACCACGAGTAAGCCATCAACTTCAAAACGTAAATATGAGGACGATATCGCGATTCGTGAATTTAAAACTGAGTGGGAAGAACAATTATTATTTACTCTTCACAACACTTCCAAGCCTTGCTGTTTGATATGTGGAATTGTGGGCAGTGCCAAAAAATTTAATCTGAGCGCCATTATACAATTCATGGCGATTTCACCAAATTATCCTGTCGAATCACGTCTACGAACCGAATTCATCGCCAAGAAAAAAAATCTTTAACCGGGCGACAATCTTTGTTCCAAAATAGAAGTAATGAATTGGAAACAATGGTGAAGACTTCATATAAACTATCGCTGTTATTAGCACGCAAGAAAAAGCCATATTTTGACGGAGAAGAGGTAATTAAAAATAGTTTACTAATATTCGCTCAAAATATCGGTGATTCAAACATAAAACATATGGTGGACCAAATCGCCTTGTCCAGAAACACCGTCATGCGCTGAATTGATGATATTGAAAGCTGTGACATCACAGGTAATGCGCAGTTGAGCATGTTTGTACGCTTTGTGATAGATAGTTTCGATGTTGTGGAGGATCTATTGAATTTGCGCCAACTGGTCTACACAACATTTGCAACGCTACTTGAAAACTTTTTAGGAAGAAATGTTTTCAAATTCCATTGTATAAACCACCAAGAAGTTATGTGCCAAGGACCTCGATCTATCCTCGGTGATTGAGCCTGTATCGCGGTGTATAAATAAAATATATGCTTGAGCTAGTAGTCGACGACGATTCTGAGAACATTTTCAGGAAGAAACGGAGGAGGCAGGTGAATTACTCCTTTATTGCAGTATTCGATGGTTGTCCAAACAAATTGCCAAACGATTACTCTCTGTTGAAAAATGAAGACTGGCTATGGGATTTAGTTTTCCTTGTGGACATAATGGGGCATTTGAACATATTAAATTTAAGATTACAAGGAAAAGATTATATTTTTCCAACCTTAGTTCGTATTTTCATACTGTAATGCAAGAATTCTGGCACAATATTCTACTCTACTGTGATAATCCCAGGATGTAATTAATGTTGATGTACCTGAATCACATACGAAAATGCACCAAGCTCCTTAGGATTCTTTGCAAGGAAGTTCGTTTTAGGCCAAGATGCAACGCTGTTCTTGAATAGCTGGCTTTCGTTTTTGTTTCGTTTTTCATGGTTATCGTTTTTGTTAACTGTCCTGGGACGCCCTTAGTTTCCTTTCCGTTTTCAACAACCTTCAGAACTACAACATTAGTTGGATACCGTTTATTAAACCACTGTGTGAATAGATCACACACGTATTGCAGTCTTGCACTATTACATCGGCCGATTCCGTATGAGGCCTTAATAATTAATTGTTTAAGGATTACTTGACAGGTCTATAATAATTAATTTTATTATAACACCGCGCATAAAGAGACATCTATGTTTCAGTTTTAGTACTGTTTATTTTGGGCAATACCGTACTATCGCCGCATAGTAAATATTCGGTCTTCATCGTCATACAGTTTTCTGGGTCTAAAGTTGGACATAGACCTCCTCTAATTTGGTCTTGACGTCGTCTGCCCATCGTGCATTTGGTCCACCCCTGCTTGTTC